ATCAATGAATGATTGAATGAATGTATGGATGGATGGATGGATGGATGAATGAATGAATGATTGAATGAATGGATGGATGGAGGGATTTATGGTTGAATGGATGGATGGATGGATGGATGGGTGGAATAATGAATTAATGAAGGAATTAATGGATGAATGACTGAATGAATGGATGGATGGATGGATGAATGAATCAATGAATGAATGAATGATTGAATGAATGGATGGATGGAGGGATTTATGGTTGAATGGATGGATGGATGGATGGATGGGTGGAATAATGAATTAATGAAGGAATTAATGGATGAATGACTGAATGAATGGATGGATGGATGGATGGATGAATGAATCAATGAATGATTGAATGGATGGATGGATGGATTGATGGGTGGATGGATTTATGGTTGAATGAATGAATGAATGAGTAAATGGATGGATGGATGGATGGGTGGAATAATGAATTATTGAAGGAATTAATGGATGAATGGATGGATGGATGGATGGATGGATGAATGAATCAATGAATGATTAAATAAATGGATGGATGGATTTATGAATGAATGAATGAATGAATAAATGGATGGATGGATGGATGGATGGATGAATGGATGGATGAATGAATGGATGGATGGATGGATGGATTTATGGTTGAATGAATGAATGGATGGATGGATGGATGGATGGGTGGATGGGTGGGTGGGTGGAATAATGAATTAATGAAGGAATTAATAAATGAATGAATGAATGCAACAAATTTAAAAAAACTCAAGAATATGTAGTGTTCAGTCATGTATTATGTTCATAGTACATCCATCTCTAAATATTACCCATAGTTTTCTATAATTGCACTTACTGTATAACTTATACCTGTACTGCACTGCTGCTATTGCACTCCTTAGACCTAACTGCATTTCGTTGCTTGGTACATATGTAATGGCCATATAATAAATCCAGATTAAGCTAGTTTTTCCTTAAGACAGGCTAAATAATCTGCCATTAGGGTAAGCAAAATGAAATGTGGATGATGAGAAGTGTGTGCCTAACCCTGGCCCTAACCTTAACCCTATTGAGAGATGAACACAGCTCTGTAAAACAACAGGACAGTGGAAACACTGAATCTAACCGAATCTAAGAAGCAGTTTTATATGGAGCTAAAAATATGACAAAACAATAAATTCCAATTGTGTTCATTTTAATTACCGACAATTGTAAATGAATCAAATTGAATATTATATGCCATTAAATATTGTTTTCAATTTCTTAACTTGAATATTGAAAGTCTGAAATTAAGTTAAAAGATTCAAGGCAACTTTTAATGGCGAATAATATTCAGCTGTACTATACAACAATTGTAACACAATTCAAATTCAGATTGTTTTGTCATATTTTTGGCTCCATAGTTTTAGAGCAGTAATAATATATTGTTTTCAGAAATATTAAGTCAAAATTAAGTGGATTTTCCTTCAAATAAGCTAAATAATCTGAATTCAAACCGAAAACAAGCAGTTGTAGTGCATTCACACTGAATAGTCTAAACAGAACAAGTGCACTTTTGATCCCTGGATGATTCATTTATTTAACTGATTAACATAAGTGTGTGGCTAACTCTAACCCTAACCTGAATGAGAGATGAACACAGATCTATACTAACTATAAAAATGCTCAGAAGACAACAGGACACTGAAAACAATCTGATCTAATCTAATCTAATGTAAGAAGCATTTTTATATGGAGCTTAAAATATGACAAAACAATCTGAATTTGACTCGTGTTCATTTTAATTATTGACAATAGTAATATAATAAACCGGAATATTATGTGCCGTTAAAAATGGTTTTGAATTTTAATTTCTTAACCTGAATATTGAACATCTGAAATTTATGTTAGGAAATTCAATAGCAATTTTTAATTGCATATACTATTCAGCTGTATTATATTACAAAAGTAATTAAAATGAAGATGATTCAAATTCAGATTGTTTTGTCATATTTTTAGCTCCATAGTTTTAGACCACTAAAATATATTTTGTTTTCAGAAATAATAAATACAAATTTATTAATACAAAAGCGAGTTTTTACTTAAAACAAGCTATAATCTGCCAGCAAAGTGATCTGAATTTAAACAGAAAACAAGATTATTTTACTGACCCCATTGGCAGATTATTTTTGTACAAATACACTTCATTTTGACTCAATACTTTTTAAAGCAATGCATCTTTTTTTACTGGTATTGAAAATGTTTCTTGATTTACATGACTACAAACAAGACAAAAACTTTTTTTTTTTTTTTTTTTGCAGTGGCATTAACATTAAATCTGTTCTAACAAAAGATTTTAAACAAAAAAAAAAACATCTACGTTGCATTTTACATTTAAGATTTACACCAATTTTTGAGCTCATCAAAATTAAAATTTCTTTATGTTAGTGTGTGTAGATGTGTATATATACAGTTGAAGTCAGAATTATTAGCCCCCGTTTGTTTTTTGCCCCCCAATTTCTGTTAAAACGGAGAGAACACATTTCTGATAATAATAATAAATCATAATAGTTTTAATAACTCATCTCTAATAATTGATTTATTTTATCTTTGCCATGATGACAGTAAATAATATTTGACTAGATATTTTTCAAGACACTACTATACAGCTTAAAATGACATTTAAAGGCTTAACTAGGTTAATTAGGTTAACTAGGCAGGTTAGGGTAATTAGTCAAGTTATTGTATAATGATGGTTTGTTTTGTAGACTATCAGAAAAATATATAGCTTAAAGGGGCTAATAATATTGACCTTAAAATGGATTTTAAAAAATTAAAAAATGTTTTTATTCTAGCCGAAATAAAACAAATAAGACTTTCTCCAGAAGAAAAAATATTATCAGACACACTGAAAATTTCCTTGCTCTGTTAATCATCGTTTGGGAAATATTTAAAAAGAAAAAATAGGAATCTATATAAGGAATATATTTAGTTTTTATATTACTTTCAGTGATATTATTGAGTAATATGCAAATGTTTAGATGATTTATACACAATACAGTTTACAAAGTCTTTTAGCGGATGCATTATAGAAGAGAGTTGCTGTAGCTTTGTTTGAATTAGTGGTCCTAATTGAATTTGCATTGTAAACCTTAAATAAATTAATTTATTTTAATTATGTATAATTGTATTATTTGTATTATTATGTTAATTTTTCAGGTCATATTCACTCAAAATCATTCTGCATAAATCCTGATTTTATTTTTATTATTATTTTTGTTTGTTTATTTATTTAAAATTCTGTGCAGAAATGTCAAAAAGTCCACAGATTATATCTGGCCTTAATAACAGGTCATTTTACTATAAAAATATTCTGTAAGTTTCAATTATTGATTAGTAATGTACAGTTCAAAGCACTTCATTTAGATCTTTTTAAACGTGGCTTTCTCAATATATAGATTTATTTGAATCCCATATTTAAAAAGTTGCATCTCATGCAAATATTGCTATATCCTAACATATTATACATCAATGGACAGCCCATTAATGCAGCTTTAGAATTAGCTCATGACTTTCTTTGTGGTCTTGGTTCACATATAGGCTAATTTAATTTTAATAAGCACATGTCCCGGATCAGTCATTTTTGCATAAATCTGTTACACACACACAAAAAAAAAATAAATAATAATAATATTAATAATAATTTAAAAAAATTAATGTAGGCCTATTTTTTTTAAAAGAAGTTCTATTTTTAAAACCTGTTTTGCATTTTAATCTGTTTTTATCTGTTTTAATAATTTTTATCTTGTTTTTTTCATTCTTGTTTATGTAAAGCACTTTGAATTCCCATTGTGTATTAAACGTGCTATATAAATAAACTTGCCTTGCCTTAATAAGCATATACAAAAAAATTTGTGGCCTAGATTAAGCAAACAAATGAAATTTAGTAATGTTATTCTACCTAATTTGTTTGTTTAAATTCAGCTCATAATTTTATTATACCTTAAAAATGGGATTTCCAATTAATAATTGCTTTCAGTGTTACGCTCAATTATCATTATTTCACCCTCATCTTAAGTTATTTAAGCTTTCTTCTTACACAAAACCCCCAACATGCGACGTTACATGTTAATCCAATCCAATTTTAGCCTCCTCACTAGTCAGTTTACCTCTCTTTTACCTGTCAGTCTCCATGACAACCCAGTACAGCTACTGAAACTACGCGCTAATCAATCTCCCTGCATGCTCTTAAAAGCGTCCGTGTTTCCGTAATGCCACCATGTGCGTGTTTGGGGCAGAGCAGCTCGCGTGTTTTTGTTAAAATCGCGCCTGTCACAACATAAACATCCGCGCGTCACCGTCGCCGAACACTTGCGCCAACGCGCCACTGCATTGCTCATCATTGCCCACTGTCAAACAGCAGACAACTCTTAACGCGTAAAACGCTGCATTACATCTGTATGTGCGCCAACAATATGACGACTCCAACACATATTCTGTCACTCACCCAGCAAATGCAATACAAAAATCACTCCAAACTGAATCTGAAAAACATAATTAGGCTAAATCAAAAAGTGCAGTCAGTGCACGATGCTGCCGCTGCTGCTGTCTGCCCATAATAATCACCCCGCGCATTATCAGACGCGCGTGCATGCCGTCAGTCAACATCCACTTTAGTATTCCACACTCAGAGCATTAATGTTTGCCACTCACACGCATGCATTACGCACAACTCAATTCACACTAATCAAAAAATATCTTCAACAATCTGATTCCACCACACTGCGTTATTCTAGCGCGATTTAATAAGAATGACAGCTACAAATGTGTGTGATGTAGTAGGTGAGTGCGATATGGAGAGTGCGCGCGCGCGCTCGTGTGTGTATGCGAGTGACCTATCGCGAGCTCAATGAATGGCAGCGATGAGGTTAATAAAAATTCCTTCAATAGAAAACACAAACCCTCGTGAAATGCAGGGGGGAAGACTATGCAAATTTTTGGGCAGACGCGCGCCGCGCACTCACCGGGAGGCGCCGCCGGGGCTCCGCCGCTGCAGCTGCCGCGTTTCACGCTCTCTCCTCAGGCTCCGAGCGGCTGCTGGATCACACACAGACCGCTGACATGCAACATCCTAAAAGCACAGAGGAGTGACAGTCTGTGTGAACAACAACATCTGCACACACAAAAAAAACTATGAGTGAATGGTCATCTCGGTCCTCTTCTGTGTTGCGTCGGCTGTTCAGCATCTGGTTTTACAAAAAGAAAAAAGAACTGGAACAAAAATGCACAAAAATGTATGCAGGGAAAACTGTCGTGTTTCTGTCAGCGCTTTAAAGAAAGTGTGGTTGTAGTGGGAGAGTGCCGCAGTTTGCCACAGGAGCGCAGAAACTGTACTGAGCGCCGTTCTGCGCCGTTTCTCGCCCTCTGCAAACCAACTCGCAGGAATCCAGTCAGAGACGTGCCTTGTCGGCGGGGGCATCCGGGCCGCCGTAGATTCTTCTGTCTAGCTGCTTTTTCCCCTCACTCTTCTCGAGAACTCTGGGTACTGAAGTCCTGCTTGTCGTGACTTTATTCATTCTCTCTCTCTCTCTCTCTCTCTCTCTCTCTCTCTCTCTCTCTCTCTCTCTCTCAATTCAATTCAATTCAATAGTTGCTTTATTAGCATGACAAATGTAAAAAAAATGTATTGTCAAAATAGCGGTAAAAAGATTATATTTATACATAATAATTACATAAAATATAAATAATATATCATATTATTCAATATGTCATAATATTATTCAATATATCTCATTATTATTCAGTGTATCTCTTATTATTCAATATATCTTATTATTACTCAATGTATCTTATTATTTTTCAATATATCATATTATTATGCAATAAATCATATTATTATTCAATGTATCTTATTATTATTCAGTATATCCTATTATTATTCATTAAATCATATTATTATTTAATGTATCTTATTATTATTCAGTATATCCTATTATTATTCAATAAATCATATTATTATTCAATGTATCTTATTATTATTCAATATATCTTATTATTATTCATTATATCATATTAATATTCAATATATCTTATTATTATTCAATATATCATATTATTATTCAATGTATCCTATTAATGTTATATATATACTATATTATTATTCAATATATCATATTAATATTCAGTATATCTTATTGTTCAATATATCTTATTATTATTCAACATATCATATTATTATTCAATATTTCATATTAATATTCAATATATATTATAATTATTTATTATATCTTATTATTATTCAATATATCTTATTATTATTCATTATATCATTTTAATATTCAATATATCTTATTATTATTCAATATATCATATTAGTATTCAATATATCTTATTATTATTCAACACATCTTATTATTATTCAATATATCATATTATTATTCAGTGAATCTCTTATTATTCAATATATCATATTATTATTCAGTGAATCTCTTATTATTCAATATATATCATTATTATTCAGTGTATCATATCATTATTCAATATATCATATTAGTATTCAATATATCTTATTATTATTCAACACATCTTATTATTATTCAATATATCATATTATTATTCAATATATCTCATTATTATTCAATATATCATATTATTATTCAATATATCTCATTATTATTCAGTGTATCATGTTATTATTCAATAAATCATATTATTTTTCAATGTATCTCATTATTATTCAGTGTATCATATTAATATTGAGTATATCATATTATTACTCAATATATCATATTATTCATACAAATCAATAAAAAATAATAACACCAACACAGGGTGAACATGCAAACTGCACACAGAAATGCCAACTGATCCAGTCAAGGCTTGAACCAGCAAACTTCTTGCTGTGAGGCGATTGTGCTACCCACTGTGCCACCATAACGCCCTTATAATATTATTTGTAAAATCCAATATTTTCTCTCTCAACTTCAATATTTTTTTTTTCAAGTAAATTCACTTTAGTAATAATAATAATAAGGATAATACACACACACACACACACACACACACACATACACACACAAAACAATTAATTAGATCTCTCTCTTTCTCTCTCATTGCGTTCAGTATAAAACAGTCAGACTGAAGAAATGAAGATCTGCGTACACATTTCTGTGAGGTTCAGAGGAGCTCAGATCAGAGTTGTTTCTGATTGTTTCTGATCAATCAGTTTCCATCACGCCGAGGTTTTCAACTGGGGTCCAGATGAGTGGTTGGGGGTCCGTGTGGAAATGTGGAGAAAGAGCTTAAAAAGTACAAACAAATGTTACATAAGTAATATTCTTAATAATATGCATAATTCAAGGACAATATAAATAATTTAACAATAAAATAAATAACACAAATTACTCCACTAAATTAATAATAAAAATGGGAATAAAATAAAAACAAATATGAAAAATATAAATAAATTTAATAATAAAAAATGTGATTAAAATAAAAAACAAATACAAATAAACACAAATTAGATTAAAACAAGTAAACAAATAAATTATTTAATTAATTAATTAATAAAGAATGACTTGGTAAAAAGGCAATAATTTAACAATAAAGCAAAGTTAAAAACATTTTAATATAAAATGTTCACAAATGAAATGATGCATTTATATTTTACCGGAGGGTCACTTACCCAAATTTGGGGGTCTTTTGCATGTTGATTGAAAGATGAAATATTAAATATACTTTACTCATTAAAGAGACACAAAAGATAATTATTTTGTCATTTATAAACCTGTTTGATCATCAATACAAACAAATGCATTCAGAAAAATATTCATGTTGCAATCATTTTTGGTTATCATTGACATTTATTCGGCAATTTGGAATGTTCAAATGAGAAATTAAGGTGAACGATGAAAAAATAATAAAAAAATTATATATATATATATATATATATATATATATATATATATATATATATATATATATATATATATATATATATATATATATATATATATATATATTTTTTTTTTTTTTTTTTTTTTTTTTTTGTCAACTATACCTTTAAAACAGTGCAAATTAAGTCATTCATTTATTATGAATGGTCAGTACTCTTCCATATGATACAAACAAGCTTTTCTCGTTTAAAGGCCCTTAAAGTCTTTAGCTTTAAGAGTCTTAAAGGGCCAGTTCACCAAAAAAAAAAAAAAATTACATCGGCCTCAAACCTGTATGACTTTTTCTCTTCCATAGGACATTAATTATTATTTTTTATTATTAAATTGATAATTAGGTTATTCGTTTTATTTTAAGTATAAAATATGGAATACATTTATGTCATAAAATAACAAATTACATGATAAATAAAAAATAAATGACAGAAAAAACAGAAAATATCTCTAATAAAAATTTGAATAATTTATAATTAGTTAAAGACAGTGTATATTATTTATAATAATATTTAGAATACACGCTTTATGATTTCAATATTTTTTTCCAAGTAAATTCACTTTAGTAATATTAATAATGATAATTATAACAACAATATATCTTATATATCGCTCTATATATCTATATCCATTTCTGTACCGTCTAAAATGGCCTTTAATCAGTCTTAAACCTGTATGACTTTTTCTTATCCATGGGACATTACTACTACTAATAATTGTTATTTTTATTATTAAACTGATAATAAGATTATTTGTTTTTTTAAGCATCACTCCTGCTCCTACACAAATGACAAGGCAAAAAAGACTCATTGACTTTCACTGTAAATATTCATTGAAAAGAGAAACCGTTCCCTTTTTAATGCAAGTTAGCAATGAAAGTCAATGACACTGCTTGGTGCAGTATACTCAATGTGATCTTAATTTGAAGATTCATTTTTTTGGGGGTAAACTGTCTCTTTAAAAACTGTCTGATGTCCTGTAAAGGCTGAATACAATTTAGAACATCCAGTGAGCCTCCAATAATATAATGGCTGAATCTGTTTGAGTTCCTGTGCTCTGACATACAATAATTACATTTATTTTCTTTCACGGTTCAATCTTTTTTGCCATTCCTTCACACTATAACAAAGAAAACCTGCATATATATATATATATATATATTAAGCTGCCTAACAGGCTGATTGCAATTTTATTTGATAACATTGATGCATTGAGTTGTGCTTCTCCTTATTATGATTATAATATTTGATCAGTTCACAATTTCTACATACAATTTTAACATACCAAATGTTGTATCTCACATAAAAGCATAGACAGAAATTACTCACTAAATTGTTTACTGACTAGCATTTAGCTAAACAAAGAACAAAAACAGGCTGAAATCTAAAAACAAAGATTACAATCATCTAAAATCTTCTAGTTATATCAGATTTTTAGATAAAAGCTCATCATTCATCATCCACACACTCCTCCAGGGCTGCAGAGGATCACGCTCAACTGCTGCAGCAAAATGTAGATGCTACAAGCTGTTTAATTTATAAATGTAGAAATCAAATCTGCGGCAAGAACAAAGTGCCAGCTCAGTGCAGGTACGGAATGTACCATCATGACTACAAACCCCAGCAGGATAATTAATAAACCAATACAGCATACTAAAAACCCGCACAGCTCGCATACTGTGGCTCTTCTGCCATCTTGTGGACAGTAAAGTGGAGAGCGTGTAAATGCAGCTGTGAACAACTGGATTTTATGTTGAGACTTACAACTTTTATGAACGAAGAAGTGGTCTCATCCCATTTGTCGGAGTAGAAGAACGCGAGTTGCAAGGTAATCAGCGAATTCCGCCATTTTGTTTTTGTAATGTTGCCGTTTTAATATATAAAATTCTAGGAATAGCTGCTGAAAAATCCAGGTTAAACCAGCCCAGGCTGGTTTTAGCTGGTCAACTAGCCTGGTTCTAGAGGGGTTTTGCCCACTTTCAGGCTGGTTTCCAGCCATTTCCAGCCTGGTGTTACCAACTAAAACCAGCTTGAGCCTAGCCCAGCTGGGAGTCCAGCCAAAACCAGCTATATCCAGCTTAAACCAGGCTAGTCAAGCTGGTTTTAGCTGGATTTGGCTGGTCATTTTCCAGCCTGACCAGCAAAGACCAGGCTGGAAATGGTTGGAAACCAGCCTGGAAATGGCTAAAACCCCCTTTAAAAAGAGGCGGGTAGACCAGCTTAAACCAGCCAAGGCTGGTTTTCTCTGGATTTTTCAGCAGGGTATAGGCCAAGAGGGACATTATTTTCGTTTGCGATGGGCATTTATGGTAAGAACGTTTATCATGATTTAAAAATCATATGTTAAAATAGCGTTCTGTTTCATTATTAGGCCTACTTAAAGGGATTTCACACAAACATAAAATCATCATTATGTCGACAGATTCTTTCGCTATTTAACGTTATACTCACTCTTCACTGTTTCCTAACCTGTTTCAAAAACTAGGACAAAAACAGTGGTCCAACGGTCGGCATGTTGCGTTATGACGCCGTCGAGTTCTAACCGCACCTAAATTATATATATCATTTTTAGTGTATATAACACTGATTGGGTTACTTATTTTTTGTGTGACTACCGTTACGGACTGGATTTAAAGAATTTTGCACAGAATATAAATTCGGATATTGCAGGAAAGGACATTGTGATGTTTTAAAGAATTCAATTCAATTCACTTTTATTTGTATAGCGCTTTTACAATGTAGATTGTGTCAAAGCAGCTTCACATAAAAGATCATAGTGTAGTGTAAACAGTGTAGGTAACACTTTACAATAAGGTTCATTAGTTAATGCATTTACTAACATGAACTAATCATGAACAACACATGTACAGCATTTATTAATCATAATTGAACATTTACTAATGCATTATTAACATTTAAGTCCATGCTTGTTAACATTAGTTAATGCACCATGAGTTAACATGAACTAACAATGAACTACTGTATTTTCATTAACTAACGTTAACTAACATGAATAAATACAGTAGTAGATGTATTGTTCATTGTTTGTTCATGTTAGTAAATCCATTAATTAACATTAACTAATGAACCTTATTGTAAAGTGTGACCACAGTGTAGTTCAGTATTTAGTACTTAAGTTCAGTTCAGTTCAGCTCAGTTCAGTGTGGTTTATTAATCACTATTAAGGGCCTAACCACTGAACAGCAACATAGTGTTGGAGATTTAGCTGCCCTTTAATGTTCTCACATTAATGAAACACATTTGAAGTTCTAAAGCAGCTGTGTCCTTGAAAAAGGCGTAATCGTGTCATTAGAAAATGAATTGGAAATGACCTTATTTTAATATAGTCAGTCGTGAACTGAGGTGGGCCGGTGTAAGGCTTGAAACTCCAGGGCTGAAAAGCAGTCAAACTCCGACCCTGTCTGTATCCACTGACTTCAAGTTTGCATGTTTGTCACACTTATGTTGTCATGGGTTTCCTCCCAGTGCTCCAGTTTCCCCCATAAGTCCAAAGACCTTATATAGGTGAATTGGGTAGACTAAATTGTCTGTAGTGTATGTTGGTATGTATGAATGGGCGGGGCTAAAGATATCTTTTTGCATGCTTGCCAAGTCTGGTGGGTTAATTTTCTGCACAGCATCATGGGTAATGTAGTTTATCTGCATAAATTATGTTATTATAACCAACCTAAAAAAATACCAACTTCATGGAAACAGATGGTGCTTCATGGGAACGGGCGGAGCTAAAAACTAAAAATATATTTTGGCATACTTGCCACGTCTGATTGGTTAATTTTCTGCAAAGCATCATGGGTAATGTTGTTTTTTTCTACACAAATTCAGTTATTATGTCCAACCTTTAAAAAAATAATACATTAATGGTAACAGATAGTGCTTTATAGAAATGGGCGGAGCTAAAGATATCTTTTGGCATGCTTGCCAAGTCTGATTGGTTAATTTTCTGCAAAGCATCATGGGTAATGTAGTTTAACTGCATAAATTATGTTATTATATCTAACTTTGAAAAAAGTACTGCACAGCATCATGGGTAATGTAGTTTGTTTCTGCACAAATTCAGTTATTATGTCCAACCTTTAAAAAAATTATAAATTAATGGTAACAGATAGTGCTTTTATAGGAATTGAAAGCATCATGGTTAATGTAGTTTCTCTGCATAAATTATGTTATAATATAAAGCCTTTACAAATTAATAAATTACTGGAAACAGATAGTGCTTCAAGGGAATGGGCTTTTCTGCACAAATTATGTTATTATATATTAAATGTATGGAAGCCGATGGTTTCAGCAAAAGCATATGAACATCCAGACATTGATCGCTCATGTCTGTCAATGTGTCCCACAAATGCACGTATTTAAACTAGAAGCAATTAAACTAGAAGCAATCCATTTTACACAGTTGTATTGCCCATGATAACCCACATTGAGTTGAGTAAAAGCTGAGTAAAAGACACATGTTAGACACACGGGTTCAGTTCAGTAAGCTCAGTGTAATAGATTGGCACAAACACATTGCATAACTGTAATACACATTCCCCAGTTCAGGGCTATAGTTTTCACTGTAACCCCCCAATTAAGGCACAGATTTGATAGGTACTTAAATTATTGAGATATGACATAAAATGTAAAATACAGTGTAAAAATACAGGATGCATTGCAGCAATGTTTCATTTCAAAGGACAGCTCTGAAGAAAGTCTTTTTTGTTTGCTGACATCAAGTCTCCTTATTATATGACAGAACTGCTTTCTAGTAAGATAATATAAGACTGTTAGGTTCACAATTAAACAAAGAAAGGTTATAAAGCTATGACATGACTGGCTTAAAGAAACAAACGCATCTTGAAGTGTCTTGACATGCAAACACACCTCTTCTGAAATTTCAAGTGAATTTTTGGCTTCAGCGTTGCATTCAATGTTGATTTTTTTAATCAGACAATAACAAACAAACAAAAACAGAAATGCTAAATTGTTGTTTAAAAATGCACATTCTGAGTCGCATAACCTCGAGTGCTCTCGTTCTTGAGCTTTTTTCATTAATGGAGAACAGACCTGCACGGCACATTCAGCACTAAACAAACCACAGATAACAGGCAGTTCTATGAAAAATCTCAGACCCTGTTTACACAGCATTAGGATGCATTTAAGTTAATATCTGTAACTGATGACTCCAAACACAAACTAGTTGAGCTTCCAGAAATAGCTGAAAATGCATTAGATCTGATTGTTTTTCATTCAAATGGCCACAAAAAAAAAACATCCATTCACACATGTTGGTGTCTGAAATCTTAAGAAGAAAAAAAAATCATGATTTAATTCTAACACAAATCCAGAGGGGTCGGTGTAGTTTTCTGGCTAAATGGATAGTTTTCCATTGTCTTATTGTTTTTTTTTAGCAATATTAGTTGTAAATAAACCTAAACACGTCCATCAATGCACCTGGCTAAAGATCATGCTTTTGAAAAAAAATCATGAAAGTGGTCAAACAGTGAAAACGAAACACCTAAACGCATCTTTAAATAATTTTAGTTCACCCAAAACTGAAAATTCAGTCATCATTAACTCACTTCACTTCAAAATATTCAGTGTCTTAATGTTTAATGTTTAAAACCAAAAGTAATTGTTTTTTCCTACTATGGAAGTCAATGGTTACCCGTTTTCAACATTCTTCAAAATATCTTCTTTTGTATTCGACAAAAAAAAAAAGAAACTCGTAACGTTTGAGGGTGAGTAAATAGTGAGTCAGTTTTAATTTTTGGATGAACTATCCCTTTAAGATCAGGTGTAAACAGGGCCTTAGTTGTCCAGGTAACCATTGAACATCTAGCAGAGATTTTCTGTTCTACAGACTAAAATAACTCAACAAGTTAACCACACATCAAAAATGACGAGTCGTCTACATTCAGACACAGTAGATGGATATAGAGAAACAAGTAGGTATTAATATGATTACATACAGTGTGTGCTTAATAGCTTTAAGGGATAGTTCACTCAAAAATAAAAATGTACTTAATATTTACTCCAAAAGTGGCTCCAAAACTTTACTAAACACAAAAGAAGATATTTTGAAGAATGTTGGAAACCGGTAACCATTGACTTCCATAGTAGGAAAAACACACACACACAAAATACAATGGAAGTTAATGGTTACCAGGTTTCAGCATTCTTCTGAAGATAGAAACATGAAAGTGTGAGTAAATGATCAGCCATTTTTTGAGCAAACTATCCCTTTAATCAGCAGACAGGCATATTAATGTGCTCAAGTTAAATAAATCGACGTCTTAGACTGTTTTACTTCTCAAAAGTGACCTAAGCTTGCAAGTAAGTCTCAAACCAAAGCACAAGATGAGCGGTTGCACTGAAGCTTGTGATTGAGAAGCTGTGGATCAAAAATCAGTTTATGGAGGTACTGTGCTAGAAAGTAAAGGCGACGGCGTCTTTCCTGAAGGATATATTGAACTAATGGACATAAGTGTGTCTATCACAGGTTCTCTCCGGGCTGGTACTGGGGCTCGGTGGCGGTGAAGTAATCCTCCAGGAAGCTCTGCAGATACTCGAATGTGTGCCTCTCATCGGGGTCTTTCCTCCAGCACTGAAGCATGAGCTCGTGCAGAGATGCCGGCGAGCCCTGCGGACACGGCATACGGTATCCGCGCTCCACCTGCTCCAGCACCTCTCGGTTGTTCATTCCTGTGCACAAACATTACACACAGAAGAAGTTTGAGGTTAGTGAGATGTTTCTGAAAAATATAAATATTGCCATTGACTTCCATTGTATTTGTTTATTAGTGTCAATGGCTACCTGTTTCCAGCATTCTTCATCAAAATATCTCTATATTTGCATCTTTGAGTGAACTGTCCCTTTAAGCAATTAACAGGGTTCCCACTCTTCCATAAAAGGAGATTCAAGGACTTCTTAAAGGATTATTCATTTCAAATCAAGCACCTTTTCAATTCACACTGCCAGCAAATACAGCATCATGAAAGTCCATGCTGCACTTAACAGTTCACTTACACTTCATATTTACATTGAAAGCAGCGATGATGATGTTTTGAATATGTCGTTTACCAAAAATGTTTTAAAAAGCTTAATAAAATTTGATGAATACAATAATGGGGATATTTGAATGCATGCGGTTCCGGAAATATTGCATTATTTGTCATAGTTCTTGTGCAAGATATAAGTTTAACCGTGTCTGAATGTAGACAACTCAAGTCATTTCTAATGTGTGTTTTCTTGTTGAGTTATTTTAGTCTGCAGAACAGAAAATCTCTGCTAGATGTTCAACGGTTACCTGGACAACTAAGGCCCTGTTTACACCTGGTCTTTTAAAAATAGTTCTAATTATTACCAGTAATATTGCATTGAGGTTTGAGGTCAGTGAGATGTTCCTAAAGAAAATTTAAGGGATGGCTCACCCTAAAATTTCAATATTGCCAATAAATTTCATAGTTTTGTTTAATTAATGTCAATGGCTACCAGTTTTTTGCATTCTTCAAAATATCTTCTTTTGTGTTTAACAGAGGAATGAAACTCAAATGTTTGAAACCATTTAGGAGTGAGTAAATTATAATTTCTGGGTGAACTATCTTGGTAATTCTGTCACTCAGCAAGGATGCATTAGATCAGGGGTGTCCAAACTCTGCCCTGGAGGGCCGGTGTCCAGCAGAGTTTAGCTCCTACCCTATCAAACACACCTGAACCAGCTGATCAAGCTCTTGCTAGATATACTAGAAACTTCTGGGCAGATGTGTTGAAGCGATTTGAAGCTTACATTTACATTTACATTTAGTCATTTAGCAGACGCTTTTATCCAAAGCGACTTACAAATGAGGACAAGGAAGCAATTTACACAACTAAGAGCAACAATGAATAAGTACTAAAGGCAAGTTTCAGGTCTGTAAAGTCTAAGAAGGGAAGTGTTAGTAATTTTTTTTTTTTTTTTTTTTTTTTTTGTACAGTTAGTGTGATATTCAAAGAGGCAATTGCAGATTAGGAAGTGAAGTGGAGACTAAATAGTTGAGTTTTTAGTCGTTTCTTGAAAATAGAGAGTGACTCTGCTGTTCTGATGCAGTTAGGGAGTTCATTCCACCAACTTGGCAGATTGAGCGTGAGCGTTCGCGAAAGTGATTTTTTTCCTCTTTGGGATGGAACCACGAGGCGACGTTCATTCACAGAACGCAAGTTTCTGGAGGGCACATAGATCTGCAGAAGTGAGTGCAGATAAGAAGGTGCTAGGCCAGAAGTCACTTTGTAGGCAAACATCAGAGTTTTGAATTTGATGCGAGCAGCAACTGGCAGCCAGTGCAAACGGACTAGCAGCGGAGTGACATGTGCTCGTTTAGGTTCATTGAAGACAACTCGTGCTGCTGCATTCTGGAGCAGTTGAAGAGGCTTGATAGAGTTAGCTGGAAGCCCAGCTAGTAGAGAGTTGCAGTAATCCAGTTTGGAGAGAACAAGAGCTTGAACAAGGAGTTGAGCTGCATGTTCAGATAAGAAGGGTCGGATCTTTCTGATGTTATAGAGTGTGAATCTGCACGATCGAGCAGTTCTAGAAATGTGGTCAGAGAAGTTTAGTTGGTCATCAATCGTTACTCCAAGGCTTTTCACCATTTTGGATGCAGTAATGGTTGCCCCATCCATCTGGATTGAAAAGTTATGGTGTAGAGTCGGGTTGGCAGAAACTACAAGCATTTCCGTTTTTGCGAGGTTCAGCTGAAGATGATGATCTTTCATCCAGTGTGAAATATCCAACAGGCAGGCTGAGATACGAGCTGGAACCCGAGGGATCATCAGGATGAAAAGAGAGGTATAGCTGGGTATCATCAGCATAGCAGTGGTAGGAGAATCCATGTCTCTGGATGACTGGTCCTAGAGATGATGTGTAGATGGAGAAGAGAAGTGGCCCAAGAACAGAGCCTTGAGGTACCCCAGTGTTTAGGTGCTGTAGGTTGGACACCTCTTCCCTCCAAGACACCCTGAATGACCTGTCAGAGAGGTAAGATCTGAACCATTGTATAACAGTGCCCGCAACGCCCAGTGACTCAAGCGTAGATAGCAGGATCTGGTGGTTGACAGTGTCAAAAGCAGCTGACAAGTCCAGCAAAATGAGGACTGATGATTTAGAGTCTGCTTTAGCCAGTCTGAGATCCTCCACGACCGAGAGCAGGGCAGTCTCAGTTGAGTGGCCTTTCTTAAAGCCGGATTGCTTGTTGTCCATGAGATTGTTTTGAGTAAGAAAGTCCAGGACTTGATTGAACACTACTTTCTCCAGAATCTTGGCCATGAATGGAAGCAGGGATACTGGTCTGTAGTTTTCAAGTAGCGTATGGTCCAGGTTGGGTTTCTTTAGCAGTGGGGTTACCCTAGCCTGCTTAAATGTAGTGGGGAATAAACCAGAGTCAAGAGATGTGTTAATTATGTGAGTCAGTGTTGGTATGACTGCAGGAGAGATGGCTTGCAAGAGATGAGAGGGAATGGGATCGAGTGGACAGGTGGTTGCATGGCTAGATAGCACAAGTTTGGACACCTCAGACTCTGAGAGCTGAGAAAAAGAGGTGAGTGTGTGTGGTGTTGGTGTTGTATCTTGCGTGTTTGTTGTAGGTGCACAACTCTGTAGGGTCTGGGCACTGCAAAAATGCTTTTCCTACTAGGAGTGTTTACCTTGATTTTAGTCTAAATAGCTATCAATTCTTAAATCAAGAAACATTTTCTAGACGAGCAAAAATATAGTTAGTTTTTTTAGTAATAGCAAATTCGAGTTTTTCTTTAAAACAGGCTAAAGTATCTGACAGTACACTCTCAGAAATAAAGGTACAGGAGCTGTCACTCGGGCATTACCTTTTTAAAAAGATTCATATTTGTACCCATTCATTTGGGTGCTAATATGCACTTTTGAGGTACCATTGTGGACTCTTTGGGTTCAAATATGAATCTTTTAAAAAGGTACTGCCCCAGTGACAGCTCCCATACCTTTATTTCTGAGAGTTTGGGGTAAGCTAAATAATCTTGTTTTAATTTGCATTCAGATTATATTCTTAACCTCACTGGCAAATATTTTTGCTTTACAGGAATAAATTATATTTTATAATATATATAAAAAAATAAAGCGGTTCTTTCTGCTGTGGCGACCCCTGATGGATAAAGGGACTAAGGCGAAGGAAAACGAATAAATGAATCAATAAAAAATGTATTAATTAAAAATTATCTTAAATTGTACTAATATTGTATTGATATTGCTGTTTTATTATTATTTTTATTTATTTTTGCCAGGCTTGATGAGCGTATGGTAGTTACTTTAAGTAAAACACAATAAAAATCAACCCCAAACATTTCACAAGTAGTGTATTGTTTGGCTTTTTTTACATACAGTTTATTTCCCAAAGATTTAGTTTAACTATTAAAAACTGAATATTAACTGAGCTGTTTTCATTTTTCTTGACTTTAAACAATAGTTTTTGCAATCTAAATAAGAAAAAAAAACTAACAGTAAACTTTCAAAAACGTCCAAAAAATGTGTTCAGCTGTAAATACAATGCAGCAAACCCGACACTATTTATTTTAAAGGCATAATACACCCAAAAATCAACATTTAGGGTGCTTTCACACCTGTTTGTTCCAAAACAGGGATTAAAATTGTTACAATGTTGCCTTTTATTCTTGGTGCGGTTCACTTTCATATGGTAAAGTTTATAACCGAACCAAAATGGTTAAAACAAGCCACGTTCAAGTCAACTCTCCTTACACTGGTTAGAATTTAAGGTCAAGGTTTATTTGTCCTATGGATTCTGCTCAGCTGTCATATGTTATTTTAAGATGATGAGCAATGAGACATTATAAGTGAAAAGGTGCACTTTACTTTTGAATGGTGACACCTACAGACAGTCATAAAATATTAATCACAGGAGGGACTTTCTCGCACAGAGCCTCATTTCAGTTGTCAAGAGTTGTACAAATCTATTGAATCAATCAATCTATTGTCTGTAAATTTTTTGTAACATTTATTTTATTATTTTAAAATAAGAATAAGACGTTTAATAGCTTTTTTTCATTGTTATATATGAGCTTAAAAAACATTGGCTAGAATTATGCATTATAGGCTTACATTATAAAGAATTAACAGATGAACCAAGACTGCAGTCAGATCATGAAGCAGATCAATGTTGATCCTTCTTTCGAGGTATCAGTGCAGAATTGAAAAAATAGTAGGCCTAATACAACATATTATAAGATCAGAGATCAGATGGTAATTTCGGTCAGTTTAAAACAGCTCTCGTAAATATTTCAGCCTGCGTTCACTTTCATATTCAACAAAAAATGCACATTTACCGATAGGACATCCTGCCCTACTGGATCTCTGGTTCGAACCTCGGCTCAGTTGGCGTTTCTGTGTGGAGTTTGCATGTTCTCCCTGCGTTCGCGTGGGTTTCCTCCGGGTGCTCCGGTTTCCCCCACAATCCAAAGACATGCGGTACAGGTGAATTGTGTAGGCTAAATTGTCCGTAGTGTATGAGTGTGTGTGTATGTGTGTGTGTTTCCCAGAGATGGGTTGCAGCTGAAAGGGCATCCGCTGTGTAAAAACCTGCTGGATAAGTTGGTGGTTCATTCCGCTGTGACGACCCTGGATTAATAAAGGGACTAAGCCGACAAGAAAATGAATGAATGATTCCTGCCCTACTCATAAATCTCATTCATATCGCCATATATATGACAATTACATATCCATTATACACTGTGATGCAGTCTGGTTTGTATTGCTTACTCACTACAGTTGATTCAGGCACCCTAGGACCGATTGTTTTGGCGCGGAACAGAGAGCGATTGCTGGATTCACATATGCCAAATGAACCCAGCTCAAGAGTGAAACGCACTAGGTTTTGAAACAAACATCTAGGTGTGAAAGCACCCTTACTCACCATTTACTAACCATTATGACTTTATTTTTTCTGTTGAACACAAAAGAAGATATTTTGAAGAATGTTGGACAGCCATAGTAAAAAAAAAAGGCCAAACACTTCCAAAATTCTTCAAAATATCTTCTTTTGTGTTCAAGATAAGAAAGAAACTCTAAGTTGGACCAAGTGAAGGGTGAGTAAACGACAGAACTTTCTTTTTTGGGTGAACTGATAATTGCAGCAGCCATAATAGCCTCCTACATGTGCATTTGTAGCCGCCTTATCTTGCATTGAGTTTCATTCAACAAACAAACACAGATTTGTGACGCACCTGGATATGGCACTCTGCCCTTGGTAATCAGCTCCGTCAACAGGATGCCGAAAGACCATACGTCTGATTTGATGGTGAATTTACCATAGAGAGCCGCCTCCGGTGCAGTCCACTTAATGGGAAACTTCGCTCCTACAACACCAGCATCGAGACAATCACTTCAGCACATTTCCTAATGATTTATGAAAATTGCAGATCAAGTGAAAAGGCGCTGAACCGGAGGACTGAGATAAAGCATCCTAAAATAGAGCAATGAAAGATGGAAATTGAACCGCAGTAAAAGGAGAATTAGAACAAAATGAGCTGGAATGAAATCGAATAGAGGCCGAGGAGGAGATAAATAACATCTGATAGTCTCGAATAAAGGAAGAGACTCGGGCAAATGGAAGAAATATGCTGAGTAGATTAGGATCAAGTTTGGAGCATGGATTGACCTTGTCTAGCTGTGTACTCGTTGTCCTCGATCAGTCTAGCCAGACCGAAATCTGCAATCTTACAGACCAGACCGTCTCCGACCAGGATATTGGCAGCTCGCAGGTCTCGGTGGATGTAGTTCATCCGCTCGATGTAGGCCATGCCGGCAGCGATCTGAAACAAAGAAATACAGTCAAAGTCAGAATCATTAGCCCTCCTGAATTATTAGCCCCCCTGTATATATTTTCCCCAATTTCTGTTTAATGGAAACAAAACATAATAAACAGCAAACATTTTTGGTTTTTTAAAAGATCTCTAATAGATGTCTAAACATATTCATCTTGTCTAAAACATGGCTAAATTTGGGCTGTCAGTGAAAATTTAATGGACATTTAAGAATAGGCCAAAACTAGAGCAGTCATCAAATAAACAGAAGTGAATGACCACATATAGACCTTTTTCTTAGAACGCAAAATTACCCATTATGCTTTGCGTTTATGCGCAAGGAGAATGCTGAGAACTTCCTGTCGGCAGCTGATGCGTATAAACAGCTTTGAAATTATATTTTTAATCTATTTGACCTGCTTTTATCATCTTTGAACTAATACTGTTGTTGATCAGCGCCACCTCCTGGACTGATCATTTAAAAAAATGCGATCTAATAGGACGGAAAGCAAATGCTGTGAGGCGTTTTCCCCTCGTTGTCAGACGGCATCTTCTGCCATTTAAATGAAGCCTCGTCATCGCTATAGTCAACATTTACTCTCTTTCAAATATATAACCAGCCCAAACAAATGTAATTCACTAAAATGTTTGACACACACACGTAGCCTACTGCTCTGTCCCACAAAAACACTGATTTAATAAGCGTAACAAAGTGAAAATAAAGTTAATAAAGATTAGAATGAACAGCAAATCAGCCAGCAGAGTATTAATAACAGACTTTTATTGGTCATTTTTGTAAATAACATGACTTACAAACCTGTTAAGTTTCAAGCCAGTAATCTGGTGTGCTCTATAATGCAGTGAAGTATTGCATGTGTGTGTGTGTGTGTGTGTGTGTGTGTGTGTGTGTGTGTGTGTGTGTGTGTGTGTGTGTGTGTGTTCCTGACCTATCAGCTCAGCAGCTCTTCCACACACACACACACACACACGCACGTTTGTTTTTGTAAAAAGTGGGGAGATTACATAGGTTTCCATTCATTTTATACTGTCCAAACCGTATATTATATTGCCCTCACCCCACCCCTAAACCCAACCATCACAGGAGACTATGTGGAGCTTTACTCTCTGATTAAACTCATTCTATAGGATTTATAAGCATTTTGAGAAATGAGGATGTCACCAATGTCCTCATATTTCACCTCCTTTTTGTAATACCTGTGTCATACCAATGTCATTATACAGATTTGTGTCCTGATATGTCACAAAAACACATACACACACACACACACACACACACACACACACACACACACACACACACACACACACACTGTAGTTCTGGCGGCAGACACGTGAACTAGGAGAACGTTTTTCTCTCGCGCGTGAACCACATCTGACAGATTACCGGTTTTAAACGCACACTTTTCAAAATTGTGTGTCACAAAAACACTTCGTAATCCACTCGAAACGCTATTTAGCCCATATTTATAACCCATTTTTGGAGCCTAAATTACCAGCTGTGAACGCTGTAAACGGAAGTTCTTAGCATTCTACCGGAAGACTATGGCGCCCTCCATGCAGCAGCCAAGAAAAAGGTCTTCAAAGTCTGTCTAATCCAGGGGTTCTCAACTGGTTTGGCCATGGAACACACATTTTTACATGGTCATCAAGCCGCGACCCAAATTTTTAGGCACAATAATACGATTTTAAGAATTATAATTCATTTAATTCATTGTATAATTCAATAAATTCATTGTATTTATTTGTTAACATACACAAGTAGTGACAGATACATCATAAGAAATTCACCAAGACTTGCAAATAAACAATATTTTATTATTGTCATTTAACAAAATGGAGCAAATTATAGAAATATTACAAAGTAAAAACGACAAATACTGTCATTATAAACTGTTAATGAAACATGTTTTCTGGTTTCTAAATGTTGTTTTATGCTGTCTTTTGAGAGCATCTCACTACATATGACACTGAGGCTTTAAGTCTTTTTTGTCATCATTATATATATCCATACTTTACACATTCGGGGTCGTACTTGCGCTCCGACATATTTGTTGCAATAATTAAATGAAATTTCACAAGTCAAACTGTACGCTTGTCGCGCATGCATTTCAAAATAAAAGTCCAGTATAAGGAAAAAGAAGTAAAAAGTTGATCTTTTGTTGTTTTTTGACCACAAACACGACCCACTGAAAATAATACCGTGACCAACCAGTTGAGAAACAATGGTCTAATCTGTCTATTTGACAACTAGTCTAGTTTTGGGCTATATTCTTAGATATCTATTAGATTTTCACTGACAGCCCAAAATGATGTAATCAAGTGTCCTTGTGCTTTCAAAAACTATTTCCATGTACTTTAAATGTGTAATGTTGTGATTCTCATCGTAGCTGGTTGGTTTCAAAGCTTAAAATGCTTAAAAAACACAATATGATGAAAAAAATGGGAAAGTAAACATTACCTGTGCTGCCATGTCCACAAGTTGAGGCAATTTTAAATTTCTGCCATCACCATCTTTCAAAAAGTCCAATAAGCTTCCTAAACCACACAAGCATAAATAAAAAAAATTATGCCTAATTATAACATAATATTTGAAGAGTTTAGATACAAAACCCTCTAAATCCACCTCAACCCCAGTTGTTTTTGTTCTCGCTGATATCATCATATTCATTAAACATGTATAAATTGACATCACCTAACTGCACATTAACTATGTTTATCATTTTAGATGTTAAAGCTACTAATTACTAGTTAATTAGTCACCTTTAAAGTTATGGCAACTAATAACTTTCACTTCTCCGAAATGGATTGTGAAGCAATAATGTGCACCGTTTTGTGAATCTGCTTTGAAACGATACTGTAAAAAATGCTGTAGGAATAAACGTGAACTGAATTGATATCGCTCCAGACCTTGACTCATGAACTCGGTGATGATGTAGATAGGCTCCTCGGACACCACAGCATAAAGCTGAACCAGTTTATCATGACGGAGCCTCTTCATGATCTGCGCCTCATCCAGGAAGGCTTCAGGAGACATGGTGCCAGGCTTCAGCGTTTTCACAGCCACTTTAGTGGTGCCGTTCCACATGCCTACACACAGAAACACTGTCACAAACAGCCTGAACACGCCAGGGTTTAGAGGACGACAGAACAGCTAATGAAAAGGAAATAAAGCCACACACCAAAGCAACAGGAAGCTGGGATTTACTGCAGACAACACCATATTCAGCATCTGGGAAAGAGCTGAACTTCACTTTTTGGTCGGCGAATGTGCTGTTGCATTTTTAATGTCACAGTAAACATGGACACAGCGCTGAAATGCCATTGGGGTTTAGCTGACGTTGTGCGACTGGGAATAAGCTGACAGGTCAGAACCTCAGACTTGATGCTCGGCAAAGCAGGGTCAATCACAACATTCATGCATTATGCATTTCTGATGTGAACGACCCACAAAAGGACACTTTTTCATGTTCTCCTGACATGTTAAATGCTGGGAATAATTGTGCATGGATAGGAGCAAGGGAAGCCTGGCGCATCCAATAGGAACATTCCCAGAGAGCAGACTTACTGTAGCATGAATTAGCATTGGATCAACAGTCGAAAGGTTGGTTTTTATTCAGGTTGTTATAATCAAATAATGTTTTTTGTCAATGATAGAAGCAGATTTTAAGTCTGTGTGAACTGGAAGTTGCAGTGACTTTTATTTTAGTGTTGATGTACTTCAGACTGAATATTGAGTAGGGGGCGGGGCTTGCATAAATATCCCCTAAAGCACAAACTAACGGTAAAAGCGGGTTTCAATTTGCAGTTGCCATAGAAACCCTCAGTTAACGTCAATAAAAGGACCTGACATTACAGGTTAGATTAAACTTGTATTGGATAGGACATATTTATATAGACAAGACATCATTCAAAACTGTAAAGAGTTTACAATAATTTGTATATACCTATTCTCCAAAAAACTTTGTCCCACTTTTTTTACAGAGGCTGTGTCTCTGTTCATCTGCCATAGACATCCATTTAACATTTTAATTTTATCATTTTAGTCAAAAAATAAACCTTATGCAATTCTGAGTGTGCCTCAGACAGGTGAGTGGGCTTGACAAACCACCTGTAGAAACACTTTCCTCTCTTTAACAACAATAAAATCCCTCCCTGACATTAACATGACGTCAGATTGACGTTGTACCCAAATGTTTTGGGGATGTTGCATTTTGTTTGGAAATGAAAATTTGGCTGATGTCAGAACTCAACATCCGGCCAAAATCAATGTCTAATGTCCAACCTAATATCAACCAAATATCAACGTCTAATGATGTTACAGCTTGACGTCGTGTGGACATTAACACTATGACGTCTATCAGATGTTGGATTGTCATACCTGACAAATAAATGTCAGTATTTGATGTCAATATGACATTGGTTTAAGATGTTGGCTCGACGTTGGATTTTGGTCACTTTGTAACAAACCTAAAATCAACCAAATGTCAACATCATTGAACGTCAAAATAATGTTGCCATTAGACGCTGGGTAAACACTGAATTTTAGTCACCTGACATCACAACCTAAATCTAACCTAATTTTAACATCTCATGACTAGGCCCACACGGAATCTGCGCACGCAGAATTCCGCAGATTTTCCGCAGAATTCCGCAGATTTTCCGCAGAATTCCGCAGATTTCTGCAGATTTTTAGCCCATTATTAATTCTGTTTATTTACTTGAGTAAATGTGTAAAGCTGAATTTATTCATTTTCGATTCAGTAATTTATTACTTTTTATTTAATATATTAAGCTTTTAGTTATGATACTCCGCTGGATACTCCCAAAATAATAAAGATTTTTACCAAAATTCTCCGCAGAAATAGCAAAAAACGTCCGCAGATTCTGTCTGGCCCTGCTCATGACATGACATGTTTCTGATGGGTTGCCTCTTCTTGAACTGCCAAATCCCTCCTCAATTGTAAGTTGCTTTGGACAAAATTGTCAGCTAAATGACTACATGTAAATCTAAATAAAACTAAATAAAATAAAAAATAAAACAAAAAAAACATCTGAAACTGACATCCGTTTTATTCTCTTGCTTATGCATTTGTGCTTGTATATCATATAGCCCACAACACGTGTGCACTCACATTTATTATTATTTCTTATTTACATATGTGGTTTTAACAACTGGACGCATTTAGAACTGTCCGGTTTCATTTGGAAATCATCCCAGACCACCTGAAATGGTTTGAGTGACGAAAGATATCCATCTTGAATGCATTTCGGAGGGCATTTACACCTGTGCATTTTACGATCAGGCATGTCATGATTTTGCCAAGTACGATGCAATCCTGGATTAACAACTGTGTCATTATTCATATCAGCTTCAAAATGTAATCCATACCGATTCCCTACCCCTGATTTACCATAACTGTAAATTATTCCCCAAATCAGATGGGGTATCATTGTTGGATAACAATCATGTGGAAGTGCATATACTGTGCGTAGTAACCCTAAACTTAACATATACGCTAAACCTGCCCCTTAATTCTGATTGGCTGATTGAAATGTTGTTCCAGGATCAACATAGATTTTAATCCATGAACATTGCTCCACTTGGTGAAATCAGGTTAGTGGCATTGAATCTGTTTCCATCACTGAAAATACATTAATTGAGCTGGTAACATTATTCAAACCTGAATAAAAAATCAATGTTGAAGTTGCAACCTGTTGATTCAATGTTAATTCAGTGTAGGTCTGCTATCTGGGTTAGTTTTAGCGAACGCTGGCACGATGACATCAACACTATGGGTCGAATCCCTCTCACCCATCCAGACGTCTCCGAAACAGCCCTGACCCAACTTCCGGTTGAGCTTGAGCGTGTCGCGGGCGATCTCCCAGGCGTCCCGGCCTAAGCCCATTGTTTGTGGTGTGGTATTGGGACAGGCTTTAGTCAAGTAGCAACATAAACCATCATTACTTCCTGTTAAGAGTGTTGAAAGAGAGAAAAGAGGAGAAACAGGGTGGCATGCAATGTTAGAAGGGCCAGAAAGAGAGAACAAAAACAACACAGCCTCACGTTATTTCTCTGAGCTCTGTTCATTCTGTTTCACACACAGTGCTTTGGAAACTTTTTGGGACACATTTTACTCCAATTAATTGTGTGTGCATATTTTTTTAAAGTCTACCAAAACATAAATGTTTTTAAATAAAATCACAAGTTCACCAAAAATCTATTATTTTGTAAAATCAAATTATTTTGTCACCCTCATGTCGTTCCAAACCCAAAATTAGAAACAAAACATTAAATGGTTTTCATGTTTTTGGGGAAGGCGTTGCCAGCAGAAATTTATTATTATTTTTTTTACTTGCATAAATGACACTAAAACCACCAGTATGTGGTGGCAAATTTTAGTCTTAATAAGTGATTTAGCGAACCATTCATTAAAATGATTCATTCAAAACCGCTGAATCATTCAGAAACTTAGCAAATGACTTGCTGCATCCCAATTCACTTACTTATACTACACACTAAAATGATGTACTTTTTTATTTGTAAAGGAAAAGTATATACTTTTCAGTGTGTAACAGAAGAGTATCCAGACTTTTGGACATACAGTACCACTTCCTCTTTAACAGATCATTGTGTTGCTTAGTTGCTTAGTCTTTCATGCAGAGAAATCTCCTCAGGTCTTTAGATAATTCTGCATTCAGAAGTTAATGACCAAACATATCCTTATTTAAGTTCACATTGTTGGTGCAGATGAAATGTAACACGGAAAATGCGGTTTAAACATGTTCTAGTTAGTTAGATATTAAATACCAGTCATTTAAAGAACTTTACCGAAGCCTCTGTACTTGATGGTTGGTCTCGCGCGCCCGCCATGTTTGTAGTTTGTTTACACTTTTTTATTGAAGCTTGTAGTTCTAAACCAATTCACATCCAATATGCAATGCATTGTGAGCAATATTAGAGTAATAGTTAGAGTATGGACACTTTTTACACCGGAAACCATTGGGAACCTTTGGCATACTCTTCAACATACTATGGTTTGAGATATACTAATTCTATTTTTGAATACTATTTAGGATGGATGGTATGCGAATTGGGACGCAGCAACTGTCTTCATGGGTGAATCACTGAGTCAAAGATTCACTCAAAAACAGATTCATTTACAAACAACCACCGGTGCTGCTCTGAGATAGTATTAATAGTAACTTTATTCATAAATTTTGTTTATAACTTGTTTTATGATGCGTTTACAACAGTACAACATAAAATCACAGTAAAACAATACAAACTTTTACAACACTAATCCTAAATCCGCAACCTACGATACCTGCATTTCATTTAAAAGCTTTACTTCTTGTAATATCAAAGTAGGAATGTCATGATATTGATTTTTGTGGTGTGATATACAGCAACAAAATCTCTTGCAATAAACAATATTATTGTTATTTTAAGACCATTTCAACACTATAATAGCATCATAATGCATGTACACTCTTCCAAACAACACAATATTTTATTCTTAAGAATATTTCATTAAATTATAGTCATTTTTTACAGTTTAATAATTAGGAATTAGAATCAGAACGTGAAAACAAATATCCTAAATAAATAATAACAAATGTTAACAAAAATGTACAAGGTAAAAAGAATTAGAAAAAAAGTATGAGATCTACTTTGAATACTCCACATGAATACTATAGTAATGTAGAGTAAATACTATAGTGTTTTCCACCATACAGACACCCCCAATAGAGATAGAGATGTTGCACAGTCAGCTAAAACGTAGCTAGAATTGGTCTTTATGGGCGATATATATTGCATCACCAATAATGAGTGAGGTCATGTCCATGTGTTGTGCGATAAGTCGATATACTGATTATTGTGACAGGCCTAGTGTATATAAAATATTCACTATATTCTGCTTCAGCTGGAACTATTTTAGTCGGAAGTATTTTAGTTGGTAAAACAATATTGTGCCTAAAATGTAGAGAGGGGTCTGGCTGCAGACCTGGTGCAGTGCAATCTGAGCTGCATCCAATGATTTTTAATGGGCTCACCTAACCCCACCCCTAACCCTACCCCTTGCAGTGATGTCACTTGCTCCATTTGAGTGCATTGTGTCTGACATTGCATCGCGGAGTGATGCAGTCTCAGCTTGCATCATAAAGGCTGCTTCCAGATACTATTGAAACGTAAGTGAAAACGTCACTCTAGCTAGTGTGATATTACTTAACTACGTGATACCTTAAATTATTTAAAAAAACATTATACAAAAATAGAATTAAGAGTCCAGGATTTTAGTATATTTTCACAGCAAAACTTAAGATTTAAAGCAAAAAATGCCACAAATTCAGGCAGTTTAGGCCTGAAATATATAAAGTCCCTGCAAAATCCTGGAAGGAACCGATAATGCCAGCTTCCATACTGTTAAAATGAAAAAAAAAAACAACTGATTGTCAATATTGAACACCCCTAATAACAGAAGCTATTTTCAGAGGCGTCTTTGTTGTATTTAATTTGTAGATAAGAATCATTCAGGTTTGGTTCAACATGAAGGAGAGAAAATGATGTTTAAAGTTGAGCATGAACCCAATCTCAATATTTCTGCAGGAGAGGGTGAGCGAGGCGTGTGAGCTTTTGTTTTCTTCCTCCTGCAACAGGTTTTCATGCTTTCTCAGCTTCTCACCCATCCACACTTCACCAAACTGCCCATTGCCCAGTTTCTTAATGAGCTGAAGGGACTCTCTTGGAATCTCCCAAACATCTTTGGTCTTCACTGATAGGTCGGCCAGCTTAGGCATGCCCCGCCTACAGCTGCCAATCAGACGGCAGCACAGCCCTGCTGCCCGCTCTGAACAAGAATGCAAAACACAAAGACACATAGAAACACATAGAAACTAGCGGACACACACACACACACACACACAGCAGGCTTTATGCATCTATATACTGTAGCTATCTATATAGATATATTATGCATCTATATAGATTTAAGATCTATAAAAACAGTTACAAATACATTAAACACTGCTTGAATCAGGATATATGAGCAGATATATGTGCACTCAGCAGAGGGCGACAGAGCAGGACAGATTTTACATTTGTGTTGCTGGGTAACAGTATGTAGATGCAGTAGAAATGTAAATGAGAGGCATTATATTATGAGCTATATAATATAAAATAATAGAATTATAAAAACTAATAAATTTTATATAATAAATACAAGGGTGTCACGGTGTGTGAATGGGTATGTATGGATGTGTATGGGTGTTTCCCAGTAATGGGTTGCAGCTAGAAGGGCAACTGCTGTGTGGAACATGTGCTGGATAAGTTGGCGGTTCATTCTGCTGTGGTGACCCCTGGTTAATAAAGGGAATAGTCGAAAAGAAAATGAATAATACAATGTTGGGTCAGAGGCAACAGCAAAGTTGCGTTAATATTTTTAAATTGATATAATATAATATAATATAATATAATATATATAAAATAATATTATATAATAACTTTATATTATATTATATTATATTATATTATATTATATTATATTATATTATATTATATTATAACCTAATGTAAAATAACATAAAATAATATAATATAAAATAACTTAATATAATATAATAATTTTATGTAAATATAAGTTTTGATCAATTTAATATGAAACTATTTCATTAAATTATTTGCTGAAAGTAAAAAATGTACAACTCCATTTCTTTTAAAGCAGAAATTTGGTCAAATTTGCATAAATAAAAATGTGATTATTTATGGTAAACAATTATTTATGGTATATTCTAAGAAATAAATCAACTATTAAGCTTTTTTGCAATAAACTATAATTTTTAGACTACTAAAATGTCAATAAAAGTTCAAGTAAAGCAATGTCACTTAAGAAGGTTTTACAGTCAGTTTTGATAAATTTAAATATAATATAATATAATATAATATAATATAATATAATATAATATACACAAAAAAATTCTGGGTTGTTTTAACCCAACACTGAGTCAAATACAACAGCAATGTATGTTATAATAGAATAGAATAGAATAGAATAGAATAGAATAGAATAGAATAGAAATATAAGACTTATATTGTTTTCTTTTAACCCAACATTGGGTCAAATATAAATATGATGAATAAAAATGTGATATCATATATAAATCATATATGGTATATTTAAAAGAAATAAATCAGCTTTTTAATCAGAGACTTAAGTGATAAACTACAATTTTATACAACTAAAAATGTCAATAAAAGTTACATTTCCAGTTCAAGCTGCCATAATTCACTACAAAAGCATAAATAAGCTATGGACAACTTGTGTTTAAACATACAGTCACACAACTGCTAATGAACAGATATTTTTACAGTACACAAACTAACTCAGTTCAGCTCTCAGAACTGAAAGTAACTGTTTTGCGGTTTCCATTGGCTCTGTCTGGGGTGGTGATGATGATGATGGTGGTACAATTTTAGGCGCTCCGCATGAGAATGAGTGTGCATGTAGGTGTAAATGACTGACGAATAACAGAGAAACAGGAAGACCGAACACACAAGCCGAGTAGGAAGATCACTAACAGAAACTGACACAAACCAAGCAGAGAAGTGTCATCTGGGCAGACAAAAGAGGAAGACAAACTCACCTGTTAAACCTCTAATGACAACACAAACCCACAGGACACAAGCAGACACATCCTTCTGAACACAGTCTCTAATATAGGGCTCACTAAATGTTAAAGCTTCAAAATGTGTTTCATGAAATTAAAATCTGTCATTAAGACATATGTTGTTGGACATTTACAGCTGTTTGTCATTGGAGAGGATCATATATTCATTAAGATTGGATAAGATCAAATATGGAAACTATTTTTGCAAGACATAGAAACATATTTATATGTTAGATTTGCTGAAGTTGATTTCTAAAAGGTTTAATAATCTCTTGTTAATAATACAGACTAATATAGAGACAATAATGTCTGTAATGTAGTCCTTCAATTAAAAGAAATGCATGATAAATACTGTTATTTTAGTATATATATATATATATATATATATATATATATAGTCAGCTTTGAAAAAAACAGACTTGGTCAGCTGTCAGCTGACCAATCAGAGTAGAGGTGGCTTATGGAAGGGCGGGGCTTACAGAGCTGAAGGACTATTAATTCAAATCAAAACCATTGCAAGATTACACAAATATGAAACACATTCTGAGAAAATTACAGTGTTTTCTTTGACCTTAGAGATATGCTCACCCTCAAATATGTGCTTGTTCTGAACACAGTCTCTAATATAAAGCTTACTTGAATATTAAAGCTTCAAAATCTGTCATTTATGTGCCAATTAAGACATATGTTGTTAGACATTTACAGCTGTTTATCATTGGAGAGGATCATACATTCATTAAGACTGGATAAGATCAAATATGGAAACTGTTTTTGCAAAATACAGAAACATTTTTAAATATTAGTTTTGCTGAAGTTGATTTCTAAAAGGGTTAATAATCTCTTGGTAATAATACAGACTAAAATACAGACAATAATAAATAGTTTTTTAAATAAAATGACATTTGAAGTTTGTGTTGTAGCCCTTCAATTTAAAGAAATGCATGATAAATACTGATTTATACATATATATATATATATATATATAGATAGATAGATAGATAGATAGATAGATAGATAGATAGATAGATAGATATTCATCTCTGAAAAAAAACACAGACTTGGTCAGCTGACCAATCAGAGTAGAAATGGCTTATGGAAGGGTGGGGCTTACAGAGCTGAAGGACTATTAATTCAAACAAACGGAATCAAAATCATTGCAAAATTACACAAATACTAAACACATTCTGAGAAACTGAAAATGTTTTCTTTAACCTTAGAGATGTGTTCATACTCAAATATATACACAATTTAAAATGCCATATGACCTGCTTTTTAATTGTTTAATATTGTGCAATGATATGAGTAGTATGTTTCGATCTGCATTCTGTCTGATGCTTGTTCTCATTGCTATATATGAAAAAAGCTAAACAAAATAAATAAATAAAATAAATAAATACAATTTTCATATAGACAGAAATCTCCATGCGTTAAATGTGTACATGTACAGTCGATCCAAATGTTTACAATGTTTTAATCCAATTATTTCATTTCATATGATTTTTTTATGATACTTATTTGACTAATTTGTATTTTTTTTAACTGCATTAGATAATAAAGTTAAGTTACAAGTGAGTGCAGAACATTATAGTTTAATATGTAAGTGAGGATAGCTAGATGCTTAAAATAGAGTAAACTGGCATAATATACCCAAACATTTGGTCACACTTTATAATAAGATTCAATTATATAATGTAAGTTGTGCTTGCTTGCATTATTGAATGCACTCTGAGTTAAATAGAACTAACAATGAGCAACTTTATTTTCATTAACCAATCGAAACAAAATAAATACTATAATAAATGTATGTTTGATTATTTGTTTATGTTAGTAACTAATGTAAGCTGCTTGTAAAGTGTGATCATCTGGTTTACAGCCGAGACTATAGGCTGTCATTGAGGACCAATAAAGTATTGATACAGTAGCTGTGTGATGAATTGTGCCATACTAATAGTTGTTAAAAAGTTTGTTCCACTGTAATCCACTACATGACTGCGTCTATATATCAAAGTTTTCTTCAATCTTACTTTTTTCTATTATTTTGTAAGATCCTAGTATTCAGCTTAAAGTGCCGTTTAAAGACGAGATTGAGTTTTATTTGGTCTTACACGGTTTATCCATGACATTTTTTATAATCCTTTTCTAAACTGAAAAGAGTGAATGAACTCATAAATAATGAGGATAATGTGAGAAATGTTGTGTGTCTGTATAGATGTTGAGACTAACCTGTGTAATGCTCCACCAGCTGCTGGACTGTATCAAACTGAGTCCTGGTTGTGATGTAATATCCACCGTTGTCCAGCTTCCTGATCTTGTAATGCTTGACGTGATCGCCTTTCGCATCGTCCCAGTCTCTGATGGACAAAGAATAAGCTCCTAAGGAGAGGACAAAACACACTGTTAGACCTCAGTTCTGCTTTCTCACTTATTTTGGTGCAGTAAATAAATAAATAAATAAACAAATAAATAAATAAATAAATAAATAAATAAATAAATAAATAAATAAAATGTAAAAATGAAGCAAAATAATTCAGGTTAACTTGGCTTTGAGACTTGGTCTAGGTGATAAAACAACAGTGATAATGACAAATCAAATTTTCCATTAATTAAACAATAACTAGTGTTTGATAAATACAAGGATGTAATGTTTATGCTTCTCCAAATGAACAAATTCTTTCTCGAGTATTTACTAAAGGCTGTTTAACGGAGAGATATTTTTCAACACATTTAACATTTATTTTGACATATATTTTTAAGTAAAAAATGCTTTCATTCTAGCCAAAATAAAACAAATACTGTAACCACAAGAGGGCCTCAGCGAGCTCTGTGAGGGGCGCGTCATATTTTAACAAATTTTTAGCAGTGGACAGCTAGGAGAATGATCGGAGTGCCTTAGTTCATTTTATCCCCTGGCTGACCTAAAAATGAACAAATTTGTAATTTGTCCTCGACAAAAAAAGACAAAGTCTTAGGGTGCTTTCACACCTGTGAATCGATTCAGTTATTCTGAAACAGATTACAATTGTTACATTGTTGCTCTTTGCTCTTGGAGCGGTTCGCTTTCACATTGCAAAGTTTCTAATCGGACCAAAAGAGCTAAAACAAGTCACGTGCGAGTAAACTCTCTTCACATTGGTCAGTGTCAGGGTTTATTTTGCAGCGTCCCGCTTAGCTGTCAGGAGAGGTGGTGGTTTGGGGGTGATTGACAGGGTGCGCGCGTGATGTGTCTGAGGAGAGATGCGGTGGGGAGGGGTGAGAAGGGTGCGCGACAATGCCTTTTTGAGGACTGGGAGGGAGACGCGAGATTACCGGGAGATCATCACTCGTTTGCGGGCAACCGGAGACTCGCGAAAATTCCCGCCCTACTCATAATTCTCTCTTCATATAGCCGTAAGTCTATTACATATCCATAAAACACTGTGATATAACCGCGCTCGGATCGGATCGCTTTCTCACTGCAGTCGAACCGCTCTAGTGTTCGTTTCAATCACAGAGTGGAACAGAGTGCGATTGCCCTGTTCACATATGCCAAACGAACCGCGCTAACTGGGCAAACGAGACACGTTCCGAAACAAAAGTGTAGGTGTGAAAGCACTCTTACTGATTCGCCTTAAGCAGCTAATAGCAATGACCCAAGCATACTGGACCCAAGTGAGGAAGCTCCAAACATTTCAGGTTGCGCTAGCAATACTGAAAACACGAAATGCAGGAAATACCAAGACAGTTACCCCACGGTCTCCAATCCAGCTGCTGCCACCGTGGCATAAAAGTGGTGACAGGACGCTATGCGAGAGGCTCTGAATTTCTGTTGTGTTGTGTGTCAGTGAAATCACTATCTGTTTTCAGTGTGATACAATTTGTTATATGTCCTTTGTTATTTGTCTGTTCTCCATGTTGTCTACCGTCAGTGTTATGAGCATCTGAGGTTGGAGAGTGGGACAGGTAAGAATGTTGCGCGACATACATTGTGCACACGTAGTTTTGAATATCACTGTTGTCAGACACACTAGGTAACGGGCGTGCTCCACCCACTGTACTTTTGTTTCCTCATAGTATATATTAGAGTTGGTAAGGTAGTGCGTAATAGACGCGAAGATTTATTTTTAATAACTGCTGTATTTTTCTTTTGGATAGTTATGGTAGAGGTCGGGCCAATTGATTTAATAGGCCAATAGATGTTTTGTTTTATTTATTTCTATTGTTCAGACGCCGCCTGCGTCTCACCTCTCCAACTCTCCCATCCATCTGTTCAAACATTGTGTTTCATTTGTTGTCTGTAAATTTCAGTATCCTTGTAAATATGTATTGCTCTTTCTATATACATATTTTTGCATTTATTATTATCACAATCTTTGTAAATACAAACTCACTTTATTGCATTTAGTTACTCTTGGTATTTTGTCCCTCACTTTTATTGTGTGTTTGCTTACGTGTTTCACCCAAAATCAATGTTACTCTCCTTCCCCTTGTCTCACCATCTTTAAAAGACCTGAACATTGGTTTTATTCAATTTTTTCAAAGCAGAGTGCCTGACCCAGCCACAGTGCATTATCTTCAGCAAAGTTCTTGCTAACGAATACATGAGGCCAACCAATTTAATAAAACATTTGCAGGCGACTCATCACCAATACCGCAAGGTGCACCCAATACAAATGGCCTACTGATGTTTTGATTTCTATTTCAAATTAGGCTATTATTTGTGCATAAACAGATCTAGATATAGTAGTAAACATACCGTTTGTTTGCAAACAACCTTTTTTTTGTCATACTACTGCAAACTTAAATAATTTATAATATCATTAAATGTGGAGGGGGCCTTACAATATTTTCCAGGGAAAAATGGAGGTCTCAGGCAAAAAAAAAAAAAAAGGTTGGGAGCCGCTGAGCTAATCAAGCTCTTTCTAGGTATACTAGACTTCCAGGCGTGTTGTGTTGGAGGAATTTGGAGCTAAATTATGCAGGACACCGGCCCTCCAGAACCGAGTTTAGACACCCCTGCTTCAAGACGTTCTCCGGAAGAAAAAATGTTGTGCATAAGCGAAAAATAGTGCGTAAGCGATTTAAGACGCAGCTAGTATTTTTACTTGTCTACAAAAGTGCTTTCTGATTTCAGAATTGACTAGAAACAAGTCAAAAACTTTAAGGCCCAGTTTACACTAATACTTTTTAGTTTTAAAACGCCATTTTAGAATGAAAACGATGCACGTCCACTCTGCCGTTTCACCCAGCGTTTCTCCGTCCACACTAAACCACTGAAAACGCGCATCACGTGACCACACACACACTCTCGCATGCACTGCAGCATGTCTACACATATGAGAGCTGTGCGCGTCGGACTGTTCATCAAGGATCTATCACTGGATCTAATCTCACTACATTTGTTAAACGCGATATTTAATTCATTTTGTTGTCAATATCTAACGACATATTCCCCGACTCTGGTCTTTTGAATCTATTACTTGTTCTGAGGTAACGTAATTTGGCTGACCGCAAAGATATTTTAATTAATGTAACTGCAGACACTGATTCTGCACATTTGACTGATTGCTTGCATTTATTTCCTATATTGTATAAACAATGTACATATTATACGTTCATAATTTCCCATTATTGATTATTAAAACTGATATTCAGCTAAAGAGAGGGCATGTTTTGTATTGTTCACTGAAAATGAAAGGAGGCAGTGATGTTATAGGCTCTGTTTTGTTATAAATATGCACACAGTGAAGATGACGCTCATATAAATATGCAGCTACCAAACGCCTCGACATATTTGGTGTCTGTTAAGTTGCTTATATCAAAATGAAAATAGGCAGTTCCTTATATCATGTTTTCATTTTACTGTTAAGAAAGTGAACCAACATAGCCAGGATGATGTGAATGAGGTTATAAAGTACACTGCTCCCTTTGAAAGATTTCCCCGACGTTTCCTCGGGAGTTTGTTTTCCATATTAAACTTACAAAGTCTGAACTTACAAGAAGAGGATGCAGGACTGAACTGTGTGTAGGCTACTTAAAATTAAGGAAAAAGCCCCAATCAGATAGGTGAATGTCTGCAGCCTCCGTTTCAGATGTCTAATTTTCCCCCCCATACACACTAAAACGAAGCAGCAGCATTTTAGAATGAAAACGGCCTCTTCAGCGTTTCCAAAACACTTTAGACAGCACTAGAAAAACTCCAGGGTAGTGTGGACAGATGGTGTAACCATAGCAAATCTTATGTGTTATAAAATTAAAGAGTATTAGTGTAAACAGGGCCTAAGTAATAAAAGCATTTATCCAATGGTACAGTTGAAGTCAGAATTATTTGCCCCCCTGTTTATTTTTGTGCCCAATTTCTGTTTAATGGAAAGCAGATTTTTTTTTTCAACATTTCTAAATATAATAGTTTAAATAACTCATTTCTAATAACTGATTTATTTTATCTTTGCCATGATGACAGTAAATAATATGTGACTAGATATTTTTCAAGACACTTCTATACAGCTTAAAGTGACATTTTAAGGCTTAACTAGGTTAATTAGGTTAACTAGGCAGGTTAGAGTAATTAGGCAAGTTAGCAATGGTTTGTTTTGTAGACTATCAAAAAAATTGCTTAAAGGGGCTAATAATTTTGTCCTTAAAATGGTGTTTAAAAAATTAAAAACTACTTTTATTCCAGCCAAAATAAAACAAAAAAGTTTTTCCCCAGAAGAAAAAATATTATCAGCCATACTGTGAAAATTTCTTTGCCCTGTTAAACATAATTTGGGAAAAATTTAAAAAATGAAAAAAAAAAATGAAAGGGGAGCTAATAATTCTGACTTCAACTGTATGTTAATGTGTATGAAATCGGCAATAACCTGTATATCATCACCCCCATAATTAACTCATTACAACATTTAGTTTCATAAATCTCCTGATTATCATCTAAACCGCTCTATGATAAACCACACCACCAGCACAAACCAATAACTGCACAAACGCACCTTTAGTTGTCTCGCTCTCGCGTATTAAAAATGTCCCTCTGGGATTGTTTTGCGCCAGCAGCTGTCGTTCAGCATCTTTCCGGCCCATCTTCCCAAAATACCACCTGTGTGGATGAACAAAATACACATGCACATCAGAACACACACACACGATACCAGAGCAAAGCATAGTTTAGATGTGTAACTCACTCCTCAGCCTGTATGGAGTCCACAGGAGCCACATAGTTACTGGGAATATATCCAGATTTGCCAGTGTCTAGAGATCGAGCCTCCCACCAGTCGCCCTCGCTGCACAAACACACAGAGATGGAAACGAGAGTCAAAGAAGGAACATGAGTGTGCGTGTGTGTGTGTGTGTGTGTGTGTGTGTGTGTGTGTGTGTGTGTGTGTGTGTGTGTATTTAAACGAGATCTAAAATTGACTTTCTCCAAGGCGAGACACTGCAGATAAAAACATGCACTTTTTCATGCACCCGTTAATTTAGCCTTTTTTTGAGTGTGAATTTTTTTTTGTGCAAAACATGACACAAATCTTACATTAATCAGATCTTACATCTTACATTAATTCATTAATTCATTCATTCAGTAACTTTCCTTCAGCTTAGTCTCTTTATTCATCAGTGGTCGCCACAGCGGAAGGAACCGCCAACTTATCCAGCATATGTTTTACACAGCGGATACACTTCCAGCTGGAACCCATCACTGGAAACATCCATACACACTCATTCACACAAACACACACACTACGGCCAATTTAGTTCATATAATTCACCGTATGTGTTTGAACTGTAAGGGAAACCGGAGCACCCGGAGGAAACCCATGCCAACACAGGGAGAACATTCAAACTCCACACAGAAATGCCAACTGAGCCAGCCGGGACTTGAACCAGCAACTTCCTTGCTGTAAGGCAACAGTGCTACCCACTGAGCCACGGTTTCACCATACAAATTTTACAAAGAGAAACAATATAATATCTAGGCAGTCACAGAATAATTCAATCTATTTATTCACTTCTGTAAATATGTTTAAATATATATATACATATATATACAGTTAAAGTCAGAATTATTAGGCCCCTTTTGAATTTTTTTTCTTTGTTAAATGTTTCCCAAATGATGTTTAACAGAGCAAGGAAATTTTCACAGTATGTCTGATAATATTTTTTCTTCTGGAGAAAGTCTTATATGTTTTTTTTCTGCTAGAATCAAATCAGTTTTTAATTTTTTTAACACCATTTTAAGGACAAAATTATTAGCCCCTTTAAGCAATTTTTTTTTCGACTGTCTACAGAACAAACCATCAATATACAATAACTTGCCTAATTACCCTAACCTAGTTACACTAATTAACCTAGTTAATCCTTTAAATGTCACTTTAAGCTGTATAGAAGTGTCTTGTAAAATATCTAGTCACATATTATTTACTGTCATCATAGTGAAGATAAAATAAATCAGTTATTAGAAATGAGTTATTAAAACTATTTTGTTTAGAAATGTCCGTCAAACTCTCCGTCAAACAGAAATTGGGGGAAAAAAAATAAACAGGGAGTCTAATAATTCAGGGGGGTTAATAATTCTGACTTCAACTGTATATATATATATATATATATATATATATATATATATATATATATATATATATATATATATATATATATATATTTAGTTTTATTATATTTATTTGACTCAAATTAAATTTGCATTAGTATTATTCAATATTTTATTATTAAATGTTTAAATGTTGTGTGTACAATATATCATGTAATGTAATATTTTAATATTTGTTTTTTGGGACGTACAGTGCTCAGCATATATGAGTACACCTCTCACAAATCTCTCTTTTTAATTCATATTTTTAATATGAAGCTTTACAATATTATATCTGTGCATATACATTAGATTGGTCAGTATTGACAGCTTATCTAACAAAATAACTTACGATGCCATTCCAAAAACCGAGTACAGCCAAATTTATGTTGTAGAAATATATTAAATACAAATTTAAAAACGAGGAAAAATCAAGAGAAACAAAAAACTTGTTGAAATTTTGTAGGTTGTAATTTATTTTTGCAATATTTTCTTGAACTTAATTGTATTATCTTTCAACTTCCAAATATGTTTGGTGACTAAAATATTAATTTAATAAATATATCTGTTTAATAAATCAGTTTTTTTTAAATGCACCAAAATACATTACCTATAATCACTGAGAAATGGACACAAATATTAATTTTCAAAATGGGGTGTGCTCAATTATGCGGAGCACTGTATAAGAGAGAGCTGCTATTGCTTTATTATTTACCAAACAAGTGGTCCTTATTGACAGAATTTCCATTTTAAACCTCAAATATTCATACTCTCAAAATCTAGTTTTTCAAATTTCTCACAAAACAAAAATAAAAAAGGGCAAAGATATGTACATTAACTACATTGATATGTACTTTGAATACTAAAGCATTGAAAATTACTTTTGTTTTATCCAGGCTGAGTCTATCAGACCAGCGCAAAGTTTTTAACACATTTTTAAAGGCTTTTCTCAAAATAAGTTTCTTTCCTCCTGCACTGAAACAATAAGGGTCCACTTCAGCAGCGTTTACAGTGCAAACATTTTTTTTGCTGGCTATTCACAGTCTTTTCATACTTATAAAGTGCTAAAAACTCCCTCCTTACAAAACTTTGCATCTAGTATGTCAAAGAAAAATAAGAAGGAACTTGACCTTATCAAACGTTCTGATTTTTGTGCAAGAAATGTGTGCAAATGAATGCATGTTTACACATTTGCATGAGTCTTTGGAAGACTGGTACTAAAAACAAAAGGGTTGCAGTGTCTTAATGTAATCAATTGGTTGTCGAAGTATCACAGATCACAGCACAGACCAATACATCTAAAAATAATGACCAAATAATCATTTTTATTCATTCACTCAATTTCTTTTCAGCTTAGTCCCTTTATTAATCTGGGGGCGCCACAGCGGAATGAACCGCCAAAATTTTCACAGGAAAAAATATAATCTGAACACTTAAGTAACGGTCAGACACTTTTTTTTAAGCAGAAACCTTACAGTTTGTACTGGGCTCAAAAACAAAATTTCAGTTAATGTATATTTTTTAGCAATAAGATAGATGTCATCTTAACAGATATTTCTTCTTCTTTCTTTGTTTATTCTTTATTCATTTATTTATTATCTATAAACAGTGAAGTGAATTATTGTGGATTATCTGTGCAGTGAAGTATTGCTTATACATTATAGCAGCAAAAATGCACAGATGAATGTGATGAAAGAGCGGGAATTGTCTGAGGAGTCACTAAAAAACAGAAAGACACTGACTGTGCTGAATTCACTTCACTTTTGTGGCTTGATGCCAGTTGAGCGGTCAAATACACATGTCGAAATGCCCATCTTGCTGTGTATTCATAAATAGTCAGTGGCAAATGAATTCAAAGCAATTCAAAGACATCATTTGTGTGTGTGAAATGTCTTAAAGAGACAGCAGCGGGTGCGAATAATACATTGACGATTAGGGGGGGTCGACTTTTTGGAAATGTTAGTTTGTGTAATTCATGCGTCAGTGAATCAAATTTCTGTATTTATTTAAATTACAATTAATTTACTAATAAATAAAAGTTTTTTGTGTGTTTTGAGGGATATTTAGTGTATTCTGCTCTACAGTACACTCTAATTATCTAATTTAGAAGTTACTGTAGGTCACATTATACAAACTAATAACTAACTAGACTTTACTTTTAGGCTGCATGTAGAAACAAAGTCCTATTTTATGTAGAAACAGTCTTTTAAACACTTTTGGTGTCTATCGGTGGTCTACATCTGCAGTTTCAGACTGCTGAGTAAATACTTTCCTGCATAGGCTGATGAATCGTTATGGGGTGATCATACAGTCGAAGTCAGAATTATTAGCCCTCCTGTTTAGACTTTACTTGTGTTTAATGGAGAGCAGATTTTTTAAAACACATTTCTAATCATCATATGCCATGATGACAGTAAATAATATGTGACTAGATATTTTTCAAGACCCTTCGATACACTTTAAAGTGAGATTTAAAGGCTTAACTAGGTTAATTAGGTTAACTAGGCAAGTAATTAGGCAAGGTATTGTATAATGATGGTTTGTTCTGTAGACTATCGAAAAAATATATAGCTTAAAGGGGCTAATAATATTGAGCTTAAAATGTTTTTAAAAAAATTAAAAACTGCTTTTATTCGAGAAAAAAATAAAACAAATAAGACTTTTTCCAGAAGGAAAAATATTATCAGACATACAGTGAAAATTTCCTTGCTCTGTTAAACATCACCTGAGAAATATTTAAAAAAAAAGAAAATTCAAAGGGGGGCTAATAATTCTGACTTCAATTGTATGTGTATTTATATTATCTATTATTTTAATTATTAATATTATTATTTAAAATACAGATCACAGCAAATCATTTCTCAGTATTAAAGGGCTGACCACCAATACATCATTTTTTGACTTCCTTTAGGGGTGGAACAAGCTTTATTTAGGGGGGTAAATCCCCCCAAACCCCCCTGTAATTCGCACCCTGGACGGCAGCCTAAAAATAACTGGTTATGCTGTCAATATTAATCAATGTTTTAAAAAATGACATTCACTGTTCTCAGCTAAAATTGATTCATTAATGATTTATTAATATGTGTACAATGTATTTATGAGGGGCAACATGGTGGCTCAGTGGGTAGCACTGTTGCGGCTTACAGCAAGAAGATTGCTGGTTCGAGTCCAGGTCAGTTGGCATTTCTGTGTTGAGTTTGCATGTTCTCCCCGTGTTCACTTGGGTTTCCTCCGGGTGCTCTGGAGTACATTGTGCGTAATGTATCTGTGTGAATGAGAGTGTTTGGATGTTTCCCAGTGATGGGTTGCAGCTGGAAAGGCATCCGCTGCGTAAAAACATATGCTGGATAAATTGGCAGTTCATTCCGCTGTGGCGACCCCGGATTGATAAAGGGACTAAGCCAAAAAAAAAAAGAATTAATTAACAAAATTGGCTGTAGTGTATGTGTGAATGAGAGTGTATAGGTGTTTCCCAGTACTGGGTTGCAGCTGGAAGGGCGACTCCTGGTGAATAATAGGACTTGGCCAAAAGACAATGAATGAATGAATGTATTTATGATCTATTTACCTTATATATTTATTTGGTATATGTAATGATCCTGAAGTGGAGATATATGGCTCAATGCAAAATAAGGCTGAAATTAATTGGAAAGATTTTATCGTTTAAAGACTTTAAAGTTTTATTCATATCTAAAGTCTGAAGGTTTTTACCGAGGAATAAGTTCATGGATATTTTGCATGATTATATTCAGCATATAAACAAACAACTCGTATTATAAAAGCATTTAATGAATCATTAATATTTTTTTCAGTCTGCAGTATTTTCTGAAATATGTCAGCAAAAAAATGCTCATACATCTCCCACAATCCCCTCTGTAAATCCCACTTTATATTAAGTGTCTTTAACTACTATGTACTTACATCAAAAAAATAAATACAATGTACTTACTGTGTTTATGATGTATTTGAGAACACTTGTGGTGCTTTTAAGTTGGGATAGAGGTTGGGTTATGGACAGGTTTGGTGGCATGGGTATGTTTAAGGGTAGGTTAAGGTGTAAGGGATGGTCAACAGTGTATTTACAAATGTAATTACAAAAGTTAATTACACATGTAATTACATACAGGTATTTAATCACGCATAAGTACACAGTAAATACATGTATTTACACAATAAGTACATTGTAACAAACTATTAATTCATATGTAAGTACATATAAGTTAAGGCCACTTAATATAAAGTGGGACCAAACCTCTGACTCTAATTAGTCCAAACGAGAGCGAAATAAACAAACATTTTTTACCTGACTTCATTCAATATTCAGGTTTTTGTGCAAGAGATGTATGCAAATGAGCACATATTTAATAAATGTCTCGTTATAATTGTCTCATTTGCATATTTAATAAATAAAAAAAAATTGAAAACATGTTTGCAATTCTCAATGCTATCAATCAAGTGTGGCAATATGAGAACAGTTTTTACCCCATTCACATGCAAGTGTCTCTCCTTATTAAAAACAAAAGTGACCGTAAACACAATAGTCACAATAAAGTCCTTCATCTGTAAACTCACGTGTTGTTGATAATATGAAACTTTTCTCCTTTCTGGAAGCTCAGATCATCTTCAGTACGAGCATCATATTCATAGAGGGCTATAAAGAGGGTCACGCCACCTCCTGAACAAAGACACAGCACATATTTGGTTGTGGTGATTAAATCATACACACTTTTAAAGGAACACACCACTTTTTGGGAAAATTCTTTTTATAACTCATCTTAGAGTTAAATGTTGAGTTGTAGTATTTCTGAATCCATTCAAACAACATCCGCTGTCCTGACATTTTATCCTACCCATCAGATTATGCTACCAACACTTTTATTTGAATAGTTCTGAGGTTGGGGTTAGTGATTAGGTAGGTTAGGGCAATGTTACAGCTTCATATCACACTACTCCACAATAAAATATACACTGGTAGCAAAATTTGATGGGTAGCATATTGCATCATCAAAATGTGCTACCTACTTTTTAAATGGGACAATCTAACAAAGTAGGACAAACCGACAGAACACCAGGTCTGGTGGGAGAACTTTTAGCTTAGCTTAGCATAGATCATTGAATTGGATTAGACCATTAGCATCTCGATCAAAAGTTTAAATAATTCTCTTATTTAAAGCTTGACTCTTCTGTATTTACATCTTGAACAACGACTAACGGAAAATGAATAGTTGCTATTTTCTAGGCCAATATGGCTAGGACTTATACTCTCATTCTGGTGTAATTATAATTATAATTAATATTATATTATAATAATATGATAGTGTTATATTAGCCTGTAAAATAGCCACTTTTCTTTTTCTCTCAGTCTCATTACATGACGTAACTACAGAAGAGTCAAGCTTTAAACAGGAAAATGATGTAAACTCTTAGGCCATTTTTGAATGAGATGCTAATGGTCTAATCCGATTCCATTATCTATGCTAAGCTAAGCTAAATGTGCTCCTGCCAGACTCAGAGATTGGCTGAATGGATTCAAAAATGGTAAAACACACAACTCTTTAACTCTAATGGGTGTTGTAATATGTTTTTTAAGTGAGTGTTCCTTTAATACAAAACATTAAAAGATATCCAACTTTAATAGTTAGCACATCAGTTGCTAGCTGTTTTCTTATGGCCATATACAGTACAATACAGTATCATTATTGTATCTAAGGTTTCTAGGAAACTTAAATTTGAAACTTATTTGTAAACACCTTCACATAAATAGTTTTATTTGATTATTATCTGTACAGTTAAAACAAATACAAATGCATATATTGCACAGAAACTAATATACAGCTGAAGTCAGAATTAATAGCCCTCCTGTATATTTTCCCTAATTTCTGTTTAAAGGAAAAAAGATTTCTACAACACATTTCTAAACTTAATAGTTTTAATAACTCATTTCTAATAACTGATTTATTTTATCATTGCCATGATGACAGTAAATAATATTTTACTTGATATATTTCAAGACACTACACTACCTGACTAAAGTCTTGTCACCTTTCCAAGTTTTAGGAACAACTAATAATAACTTTATTTCTAGTTGATCATTTGGTATCAGAAGTGGCTTATATGAAAGGCAAAAGCCTCTAGATTAGGCTAATTTTACCAAAATAAAATATGATCATGCCTTGATTTTTAATTATTTAATTAGGACAGTAAGCTCTGACTTTTCTTAAACAAAAGTCTTGTCACTAACCAGAAATAATGTCCAGTATAGAATATGAAGTCATGCTGCAGTGGAAACAGAATGAATATTGTGTCTAACTCCATCATGAGCTTGGAGGACTGCATCCATACATCTCTGCACTGACTCAAATCACTGATTAATAAAGTCATCTGGAATGGCAAATAAAGCGTTCCTGCAGGACTCCCAGAGCTCATCAAGATTCTTTGGATTCATCTTCAAGGCCTCCTCCTTCATCTTACCCCAGACATGCTCAACAATGTTCATGCCTGGTGACTGGGCTGGCCAATCCTTGAACTTTGATGTGGAGGCTGAAGTATGAGGAGAGCTATCCTGCTGAATAATTTGCCCTCTCCTGTGGTTTGTAATGTAATGGGCAGCACAAATGTCTTGATACCTCAGGCTGTTGATGTTGCCATCCACTCTGCAGATCTCTCGCACGCCCCCATACTGAATATAACCTCAAACCATAATTATTCCTTTACCAAACTTGACTGATTTCTATGAGAATATTGGGTCCATGCTGGTTCCAATAGATCTTCTGCAGTAGATGATTCATCAGAAAAATCTACCTTCTGCCACTTTTCCAAATGATCAACATAGAAGTCAGTTACTATTTGTTGCTTCTACAACTGGGATCGGCGACAAGACTTTTGTCAGATAGTGTAGTGTTCAGCTTAAAGCGCCGGCAGCTAGCTCTCTGCAACTCTCACATGGTCACCCACTGAAGCTAAGCAGGGCTGCGTCCGGTCAGTACCTGGATGGGAGACCACATGGGAAAGCTAGGTTGCTGCCGGAAGTGGTGTTAGTGAGGCCAGCAGGGGGCGCCCAACCTGCGGTCTGTGTGGGTCCTAATGCCCCAGTGTAGTGACGGGGACGCTATACTGCTCAGTGAGCGCCGTCTTTCGGATGAGACGTTAAACCGAGGTCCCGACTCTCTGTGGTCGTTAAAAATCCCAGGATGTCCTTCGTAAAGACTAGGGGTTTAACCCCGGCATCCTGGCCAAATCTGCCCACTGGCCTCTGTCCATCATGGCCTCCTAACCATCCCCATATTCCAATTGGCTTCATCACTGTCTCCTCTCCACCAATCAGCTGGTGTGTGGTGTGCGGTCTGGCGCAAAATGGCTGCCGTCGCGTCATCCAGGTGGATGCTGCACACTGGCTGTGGATGAGGAGATCCCCCCCATTGTGTGTAAAGCGCTTTGAGTGCCCAGAAAAGCGCTATATAAATGTAAGGAATTATTATTATTATTATTATTATTATTATTATTATTATTATTATTATTATTATTATTATTAAAGCATTTAAAGGCTTAATTAGGGTAATTAGGCAAGTCTTAGTATAACTGGTTTGTTCTGTAGACTATCAAAAAAAATAATAATAAAATAAACATGGCTTAAGGAAGCTAATAATTTTGACCTTAAAGTGTTTTTTTTTTTTTTTTATTAAAAACTGCTTTTATTCTAGCTGAAATAAAACAAATAAGACATTTTGCAGAGAAAAAAAATATTATAGAAAATATTGTGAAAATTTCCCTGCTCTGTTAAACATCATTTGGGAAATATTTGAGAAAATAAAAAACACAGGAAGGCGAATACTGCTAATACTAATACAAGCATCTGAATTAAACCGAATTAAACACACACCTGTGAGTCCAGGAGGACGTGCCGGGTTGATGATGGACGTTGGAGGAGTAAGTGGGTTTGAGAAATCATTGAAGTTTGGGATTCCTGAGTTAAATGTGGGATCGGGGATGTAGCGGGACGGTTCTGACGCCTGCGTCCCATTGAATGCGTCGCAGGAGTTTTGGTTCGACACAGCTTTACTGGCCTTCCTCTGCTTACAGCAAGCACAGCCCATAATATCTGATGTTCTCAAAGCACAAAGCTCATCACCCTGGAAACAGAGCTTCAGCCCATAGAAACAAGATAAAGAGAAATTCATTAGATGCCGTGGGGTCTCTGATGGTGTTCATCTAATGCAATGCCATTCATTTTTAGTTGTGGCTTTATTTAGGACTGTACAAATTGGAGAAAATTAGACTTAAACAAAGAAACAAGGTGGCACGGTGGCTCAGTGGGTAGCACTTTCGCCTCACAGCAAGAAGGTCGCTAGATTGAGTTGAGTGAGTGGAGTTTGCATGTTCTCCCCATGTTGGTGTGGGTTTCCTCTGGGTGCTCCGGTTTCCCCCACAGTCCAAACATAAGTGCTCGCGGTGAATTAAATAAGCTAAATTGGCCACAGTTTATGAGTGTGTGTGTGAATGAGTGTGAATGGGTTTCCAAGTACTGGGTTGCCGCTGGAAGGGCATCTGCTGTGTAAAACATATGTTGGTTAAGTTGGCGGTTCATTCCAGTGACAGTATTAAATTATTGATAACATTATTATTATTATTATTATTATTATTATTATTATTATTAAATATCTATTATTTAAAAAAAACTTTTAAATTTGTGATATTATTTTGTATAACAATAAACAATAAGGCAAAACTCTAATATTTCACTGTTAAATATATTTTTGAAAAATTAATCATTTAGCAGTACATGAATAAGATGAAATATGAATATTTATGGCTTTCTTAATTTCTAAACGTTATAAAATGTTTTAAGGGCATATCTTTCTTCTTTAGTTTTTTGTTTATTATTTAACTTGCCCAAAATCTGTGTTTATTGGATTTCAATAGTCCACCATTGCCATTCATTAATTTGGTTTACACTAGATACAAAATATAGGTACACTTGAGGTTTTTTTTTTTTTTTTTTTTGTAAATTTTTATTTAAGATTTTTCTATATATATATATTTGTTTTTTGTTTTTTTTTTACAGAACAATCCCTTCCCCAACAGTTTTATCCCTTACACACGAGGGGATACATAAAACAAAACAAAAAAATAAAATAATAATAATAATAATAATAATAATAATGATTATGATAATAAAATAAAAATCAATAAAAAAATAATAATAAATTAAAACAAAATATATTGCCATCATAATTACTTCACAGGAGATACATTTGTACAGTACATCAAGTTACATTGTGTTGCATTGTAGTTACATCCAATTACAGTGATGATAAGGTGAGGTTAAGCAACCTCTAAATATGTCATAATACTTCTCCACCTTTTCAGAAACATATCAGTCTTCATTTGTAGACATGCAGCTTTCTTCCATCCAATGTACAGTTATCATTTTTTTTTTTTTTTTTTTGCAACCAGTAATAATAGGACAAATCTTGTTTCCTTATTAAACATTTCTTTGGGCAGTGCTCCCAGTAAGCACATAACTGGATCGAGGAGTATTTCTATATCTAATATTATATCTATTTCTTTTTTTAACATTTTTCCAAAATTCTTGAGTATAGAAATGTCCTTGAAATTGAATGCTTGAAATAATACATTAAAACACTATAATATTTAATCCCAGTGCCATATATGATTAAAATTATCTAATAATTAATTTACCCATAAATTATATATATATATATATATATATATATATATATATATATATATATATATATATATATATATATAAAAGTAAATATAATAATAAGAAGAATAATAATAATAGGAGTTTGCATGTTCTCTCTGTGTTGGTGTGGGTTTCCTCCGGGTGCTCTGGTTTCCCCCACAGTTAAAACACTCGCACTATAGGTGAACTGTATAAGCTAAAATGTCTGTAGTATATGTGTGTAAATAATAGTGTACAGGTGTTTCCCAGTGATGGATTACAGCTGAAAGGGCATCCGATGCGTAAAACAAATGCTGGATAAGTTAGCAGTTCATTACAGTATTTTTAATAAAGCGGATTATTCAAAGGTCTAAATATTAAAAATGAGTGCACTGACGCTCATGAAAGAATTGTTTCTGGGAACCATAACCTTTTTAAAACCAGCGCATCTGGGTTAAACCATTGAGCTTTACAGTGCACACCACAGGCACTTGTAGCTCCTTTTGTTAACCATATCTGGTTTATAATAGCCAGCTTGTCATTAAAACAGTATGAAGATGGTTAGCACATGTTGCCTTACAAAGTCATAGTGAATGGTTTGTTAATAATGAGAATTATTCCTAAAGTGTGACCCATTTCATTTGTAATGCAAGTATTGCAACTATGTTGACTTTAGTAACTGCGATCAAATGACGCAAATTAAAACAAGATGCATTACATGTGTTCATAGGAAACGTAACGTAATTAGAATAGGGCAGCACAATATGGCCATGTCTACACTAATCCGGATCAATTTGAAAACGGAGTTTTCCTCTAAAAACGCTTCACGTCCACACTGTAATTTCAATTCGTTTTCCAAACTGTGTCATCCACACTGAAACGACTACAAATGCTTTTAACATGTACTGCGCATGCGTGAAACGTAAGACGCTTCAGCATTCGTATCCTTGCCTGACGTTTATTTTCTTTCCGGCTCTTTGAAACGTTGCGGCAAAATGTCAAGAAAAAGCACAGAGTTTTTTAAATGGACTGACAATGAAGTAGAGTTGCTGCTTCGAGTAACACATGAATGCAAAGTTGCAAAAGAGAGTGAAAATGTACACTGGGAGACGTTCCAAAACAAGTACGCTGATATACTGGACCGCTTTAAAGAACAGCATCCTGCTGATGACGCTGCTTACCCTCACAGCAAAGAGCTTACACCCCATTCACACGGGGCTTCAGCGTCAACGCTTGACTGAAGGCGTGTCTGAAGTTGGGGCTGAAGCGATCGTCATAAAGCGTCAGCCAATGAAATTCAGTCAGCAATAGGCCCCTGTCTGAGCTGGTGTATTTGCATACAGCGATCTGATTGGCTGACGCTTCCGTTGGCGCTTGAAAAGTTGAGCTAGTCCCAACTTCTGCAGCGAGCAATGCTTCTGAAGCGGTGCCGACGGATCCACAATGCAGTTCGGTAACGCCTGACGTCACCCATTCAAAGTGAATGGGAAGCGTTGACGCTGACGCCCCGTGTGAATGGGGCATTAGAATGACCAAGAGGCGACACTCTAGTGTAATTAGGCTAAACAGCCACTAGCGGGCGCGGCGGCCTTTTTATAATGAAAACTCCAATAGAACAACAGCATATTAAAAGTCTGTTAAATAAACTATTAAAAGTGCTGCTGATTGTGATAGTAAGTGTTGTATTGTCGTCTTTCAGGTTGTATCTCAGCTTTAATGCACTTTTTAAATAAATAAATAAAAAACAAAGCAGCTGCTTGCCATCACAACAGTAATGAGATCCAATGGACGGCCGATCACTTTCACTCCAAAATGGCGGAATCCGGGCTGTTGCTGGGCGCTGCTGTTGCAGTGGAACGTTCTGTTGAGTGGCGCCTCTTGGTCATTCTAAGCTCTTTGCTCACGGTAAGGACGACATCACTAAAATCATAATCACAACAAAATTAAAGTAAACGATTTAGTAACACGACTGTGTCACATGACAAAAAAGGCGTCATCGTTTTCGAAAGACTCCGTTTTCACAGTCTACAGTACGACACGAAAACGGCGTTTTCAAATTTATCCAGTTCAGTGTGGACGGAAGGGCAAAACGGAGACAAAAAATATGCGTTTTCAAATGAAAGCTTCAGCTTTGGGCTTCAGCCAATAGCAGAACAGCAACTATTGGTGAGGCGGACATAAAGATAGCAAGGCGCCATCTGATTGGTCAAATTTAGATAAATAACCAAGGCATAAAATAAATGTAACTTATCACACATGTCTAGGATATCTATATTGCATATATACTATCATCACAAATCAATAATTGTGTGATATATTGTGCAGCCCTAATCATTATTACTATATTTAACTTATTGAGCACCAAATGCAAGTAATCCGACACAATAACAATACTTAAGTGTAAATGTAATGGATGCAGGAACAGATTCTCCTCTCACCAGATCCTCAGATCAGCTTTCCATACACACCATCATCCTAAAGAGAAAGAAAAACACAAACAACACACATTTAAGAAGACGAGAAAGTGCAAATGACTTCTTATTTTGTGACTTAACACTTTTTTTTTGCGCTGCTTCCTCTTTCTTTCCTGTCTAGAGAAAGGGAAGTGCTCTGTTCAAATTCCCCCTTGAAAATATCTGTGTGTGTGTGTGTGCAGCGTCCACTCGTTCAACCAAAAACCATGTCCTGTATTTCTATCACACTGACCATCAGTGGATCAACAGGATGCCAGTTTTTGCGAGCTTTTCCTGTCCGGCCCACTAAAACCTCCCCCTCATTTCCTGTTCAGAGGGTCCAGCTGCAAATGGGGCACAACATACACAACCTTCAGACAATCGTTTTTCTTTCTGCAAAGTGAAAATATTATAAACTCGCTCCAAGATGCACATAAACATCCCAACAGAGACACATGAGCAAGACGTCACGCTTAACACATCAGCAAGCCTTTCTGTTCGATAGGTGTGCTGGAGAAAACAATAGAGGAATGTCCACCACCCCATGCCTATTGTTTCCATTTTTATCATGTCTCTTTAAGAATTTCCCATCATGCTTCATTCATATCTTCAGCCTGTTATGCATGTGATGAATTACGGATAAATGCTGCACTGTTTACAATGTGGTGGCCAGTATTTTAGCATTAAAAATATGGTAATGAATGCAAAATTGATTTCTAATTTTACCGTAAATGATTGTATTTTATTTATTTATTATGTTAGTACTATGAAGTACTATCATCTACATGTCATATTATTTGTTACACAGATGTAAACACAAACATGTGAGAAAGTCATTTAATGAACCAATGCTTATATCAAAACTATTTTAGAATAAACACCATGAGGAAAACTCACATAGTAGTGGTGTAATGCATCACAAATCTCACGGTTCGGATCATGTTATGTTTTTTTTAGTCACAGATTGGATCATTTTTCGGATCAGCCAAAAAGGGGAGGAGACCAGTTTAGTTTGCTTTCCATTTATTACAAAATTAGCACTGCAAGATACTTTTGGTATTAACAAACAGAACTTAGAAGCTGTAGTTTTATTAAAAATAAAATGAAGAAATAATCAGCTGAATAAAAATAGTAAATTATTCAGTACTGTGAAAAACTCACAACTGTTACTCCTACTTATGTTTATTTTATTATAAGACAGAAGAGACCAGATATTTTTGTTTATTTATTTATTTATTTATTTTATTTAATTTAATTTTATTTATTTTTTACTATTAAAACTATGTGTCGACAAAGTGGCTCAGGGGTTAGCAAGAAAGTCGCTGTTGTTCCGAGTCCCAGCTCGGCCAGCTGGCGAGTGTGGAGTTTGCAAGTTCTCCCAGTGTTGGTGTGGGTTTCCTCCGGGGGCTCCAGTTTCCCGCACAGTCGAAACACATGCGCTATAGGGGAATTGGATTAACTAACTTGGGCGTGGTGTGAATGTGAGTGGGTATGGATGTTTCCCAGTATTGGGGTGCAGCTGGAAGGGCATCCGCTTTGTAAAACATGTATTGGATAAGATGGCGGTTCATTCCCGCTGTGGAGACCCCTGATGAATAAAGGGACTAAGTTGAAGGAAAGTGAATGAATGAATGTTCATAAATTAAAAATAAAATGGTTAAATAAATTAAAAAAAAACTTATATTCCTAAATGGATTGTAAAAAAAAACTATAATATATATATAAAAAATATATAATATATATATATATTAAAAAAAAAATATATATATATATATATATATGTATTAATATACGTAATATTTTTATATTATACTTTTATATTATATTATACTATACTATCTATACTTTTTATAATATAATTGAGTCTTTTTAACTGTAATTTGCTATCAAATTCATAAATAAATAAAAAAGTGTCACACAGGGAATTCTAGGAAAAGTACTTTAATGATTATTCATTTTAGATAGTTAAAGTCAGAATTATTACCCCCATCTTTGAATTTTTCTTTCTTTCTTTTTTTTAATATTTCCTAAATGATGTTTAACAGAGCAAGAAAATGTTCACAGTATGTCTGATAATATTTTTTCTTCTGGAGAAAGTCTTATTAGTTTGATTTCGGCTAGAATAAAACAGTTTTTATTTTTTTAAACACCATTTTAAGGACAAAATTACTAGCCCCATTAAGCTATATATTTTTTCGATAATCTAAGCAACAAACCATCATTATACAATAACTTGCCTAATTACCCTAACCTGCCTAGTTAACCAAATTAACCCAGTTAAGCCTTTAAATGTCTCTTCAAGCTGCATTGAAGTGTCTTGAAAAATATCTAGTCAAATATTATTTACTGTCATCATGACGAAGATAAAATAAATCAGTTATGAGAAATGAGATATTAAAACTATTATGATTAGAAATGTGTTGAAAAAAAAATCTGCTCTCCGTTAAACAGAAATTGGGGGGAAATAAACGGGGCTAATAATTCTGACTTCAACTGTATATTTAGGAAACTTGCTGTTAACCAGGTTACAAATTTTTACTGTAGATATAACAGTTTTTTACATTTGAAGTCACTGCCAGTTTTTACAGTGACTTCTTCTTCTCTGTTCAGACAATCATAGGTCATCTGATATGATGTCATGATCCACAAACGGAAAAGATGCAGAATGAAAATTAATTTCATTGTGCAAGGAATTAGCAAATAAACTATCGCTGCATGACACAATATTTGCTGACATAATTGACTGAAAGCAAATCACTATAGCTGAATAATGAAAGCTAGCTCCAGTGTCGTCTGTTGGCTTTGAGAACTGGGCATACAGGGAGAGCAGGTTCGGGGAGAGAAACCAGAAACGTATTTTGACACTTCAATGTGTCTGGAGAAAAGAAATCATAACATGCTGAACACCTTAATTTTGCAATTAGAGTTTAAAAGCATGTGAATACCCATAATAAATAATAGAGAGATTGGTGAACGCTTTTGCTTTTGGTTCACATTAGGTTGATCTATTGTCTTTTTATTATAACCGAATTGAATATAATGATGAAATTGCATTGATGTAGTTGACTCTTTTAGACTGAGCTCAGTTATCTTTTATAGTTATTATTTACAATAAGGTTTCATTAGATAATGTTAGATAATGCATTTACTAACAGGAACATACAATGAACAATACATTTACTACAGTATTTATTCAAGCTTGTTAACATACGTTTGGTTCAAACCGAGCATCAGAATGAGGAAGAAAGGTGATTTAAGTGACTTTGAACGTGGTATGGTTGTTGGTGCCATACGGGCTGGTCTGAGTATTTCAGAAACTGCTAATCTACTGGGATTTTCACGCACAACTATCTCTAGGGTTTACAGAGAATAGCAAGAAAAAGAGAAAATATGCAGTGAGCGGCAGTTCTGTGGGCGCAAATGCCTTGTTGATGCCAGAGGTCAGAGGAGAATGGCCAGACTGGTTCCAGCTGATAGAAAGGCAACACAACTCACATAACCACTCGTTACAACCATAGACTGTAAAATATATGGACGTAGTATCCGTGACATCACCCATAGGTTTCTAAAGAGCACAAAAGAAGCCACAAGTAGGCGCGGCCAACCGTCGCCATTTTGTTTGCGCGTCATCACACCCACGACGGGATACCAAATAAGGAGACTGAGCGGAGAGTGAGCGGAGCTACAGCCACCGCTGGCATTTTGCTTGGACCTGGTTCAGACACACTTTACTTTGGGAAAATACTTTATCAGCTGTGACTCGTTTGTATTCTGACCACTTGTGCTTGGTTGTACACTATATCAATAAAGTGTTTAGACTTTTAAAAACACTGCTGTAATACATTGAGCCACTAAACATTGTTCTTATGACATTTTTCAACAGTAGGAAAACGCGAATTACTTCCAAACACTTCAGATACAGTCTGTGTTAGTTAATGCAAGACTATTGATGAAATCCAGCATGACACTGTATGACAATGCTTCAGATGACTGTTCTAGAGGCTACATCTAATCAATCTGACAGATTCTGGAGTGCATTACAGCTCTAAATATAAATATAAATGGTAAATGATCTTAAATAAAACAAATACATGTATAGAGATGGTATATAAGAAAATAGAAAATTGGAAAAACGTTGCCTGGTCTGATGAGTCTCGATTTCTGCAGCAACATTCGGATGGTCGGGTCAGAATTTGGCATCAACAACATGAAAGCATGGATCCATCCTGGCTTGTATCAACAGTTTAGGCGGCTGCTGGTGGTGTAATGGTGTGGGGGATATTTTCTTGGCACACTTTGGGCCCTTTAGTATTGAGCATCGCGTCAACGCCACAGTCTACCTGAGTATTGTTGACCAGGTCCGTCTCTTTTAGGTTTCTTGAACATGACAATGAGTTCACTGTACTCAAATGGCCTCCACAGTCACTAGAACTCAATCCAATAAAGCAACTTTGGGATGTGAAGGAACGGGAGATTCGCATCATGGATGTGCAGCCGACAAATCTGCAGTGATGCTATCATGTCAATAGGAGCAAAATTTCTGAGGAATATTTCCAGTCCCTTGTTGAATCTATGCCACAAAGGATTAAGGCATTGCTGAAGGCAAAACAGGGTCCAACCTGGTACTAGTAAGGTGTACCTAATAAAGTGGCCGGTGAGTGTACATTACCCTAACATTAACTAATAAAACCTTATTATAAAGTGTGACCTCTTTAATTTGTGTTTGCAAAGAGTTATTGGCTTTAAACATAGATAGAGTTAAAATATAGACATATAACACTTCTGAAAATTAAATTCACTCCATCTGTCGGGTATTATTACTTGTTTGGCCAAATTGTGATATCAATGTGACCATCAATGTTATTACAAATTTATTGGTTTGTAAAAATGGGCCATTTAGAGGTAAAACAGTTTTTTTGCACCATATTTACTCCTAAAATCTTCAAGCTATTACCTTAAAGGGATAGTTCACCAACTACCCTGCATGTAGTTTCCATTTACTCAAGTGATTTCAAAGAAGATAT